AATTTTCTTGAAGAGATCTCTAGTCTTTCCCATTCTATTGTTTTCCTCTATTTCTTTGCATTGATCACTGAGGAAGGCTTTCTTATCTCTCCTTGCTGTTCTTTGGAACTCTGCATTCTGATGGGTATATCTTTCCTTTTCTCCTTTGCCTTTCACTTCTTTTCTCAGCTATTTATAAGTCCTCCTCAGACAAACATTTTGCCTTTTTGCATTTCTTTTTCTTGGGGATGGTCTTGATCACTTCCTCCTGTACAGTGTCAAGAACCTCCATCCATAGTTCTTCAGACACTCTATCAGATCTAATCCCTTGAATCTGTTTGTCACTTCCACTGTATAATTGTAAGGGATTTGATTTAGGTCATACCTGAATGGTCTAGTGGTTTTCCCAACTTTCTTCAATTTAAGTCTGAGTTTAGCAATAAGGAGTTCATGATCTGAGCCACAGTCAGCTCCCAGTCTTGTTTTTTGCTGACTGTATAGAGCTTCTCCTTCTTTGGCTGCAAAGAATATAATCAACCTGATTTTGGTATTGACCATCTGGTGATATCCATCTGTACAGTCATCTCTTGTGTTGTTGGAAGAGGGTGTTGGCTATGCCAGTGTGTTCTCTTGGCAAAACTGTTAGCCTTTGTCCTGCTTCATTCTGTACTCCAAGGCAAAACTTGCCTGTTACTCCAGGTATCTCTTGACTTCCTACTTTTGCATCCTAGTCTCCTATGATGAAAAAGACATCTTTTTTAGGTGTTAGTTCTAGAAGGTCTTGTAGGTCTTCTCAGAACCATTCAACTTCAGCTTCTTCAGCATCACTATTTGGGGCATAGACTTGGATTGCTGTGATACTGAATGGTTTGCCCTGGACATGAACAAAAATTATTCTGTCATTTTTGAGATTGCACCCAAGTACTGCATTTTGGACTCTTTTGTTGACTATGAGGGCTACTCCATTTCTTCTAAGGGATTCCTGCCTACAGTAGTAGATATAATGGTCATCTGAGTTAAATTCACCCATTCCAGTCTATTTTAGTTCACTGATTCCTAAAATGTTGACATTCACTCTTGCCATCTCCTGTTTGACCACTTCCAATTTACCTTCATTCGTGGACCTAACGTTCCAGGTTCCTATGCAATATTGCTCTTTACAGCATCGGACTTTACTTCCATCACCAGTCATATCCACAACTGGGCATTGTTTTCTTTTCGGCTCCGTCTCTTCTTTCTGGAGTTATTTCTCCACTCTTCTCCAGTAGCATACCTGCCAACCTGGGGAGTTCATCTTTCAGTGTTTTATCATTTTGCCTTTTCATTACTGTTCTTGGGGTTCTCAAGGCAAGAATACTGAAGTGGTCCCTTCTCCAGTGGACCATGTTTCGTCAGAACTTTCCACCATGACCTGTCTGTCTTGGGTGGCCCTACACAAAATCTCTTATAGTTTCATTGAGTTAGACAAGGCTTGGTCCATGTGATCAACAGTCTGTTTTCCCATCAGTCAAATGGTGACAGTGGCCCCAGGCAGGCCCCACGGTGATGTGGTGGAGAGCATTGGTGGCTGCCTCTGGAGGCAGAGAGACCCTGGTCAGGAATGCCAGGCTTGGAGGAGAAGGGGTACCAAATGGGCCTGGTGAAGTCCCCACTGCAGGGTCATGGCTGATTGGTCTACTTAGGCTTTCCCCAGTTTTTTGTAAGAAGCCCAGGTCATTTAAGGCCAACACTCAAATGCTGTTTTAGGATTTTATGAGTCAGTATTTCTTTAGAGTTGTTTAACGTGAAGATAATGGAAATTCTGCAGTCTGAAAAGTTTGTCACTTTAATTTATAAAATACATTTTTATAAGGAGGAAAATGCTTCAAGTGTGTTCCTAATTTTAAGAAGCTCTGCCCCACCTTTGGTGCACATGTAAGTAACTAGAGCAAGTCCAGCCATTGGAGCAAAGTGCTGGGCTCTGAAGTCAATCTCCTAAGGCTTGTTGGAGGCAAGCCCTCCTACACATGTGGTTTCCTAAACTGTGCTCGTCACATTACAAGTCATCAATTCTTGAACCTGTCCCTATGGCAGCCTATGTGAACACATCGGGACAGAAACCCAACTGTAGGAAGGCAGGGCAGAAATGGGTAGAGATTTAAGTTACTTGTCAAAAGCATCAGACAGGATGGGAGGCCTGACCAGCCACTCCAGCCAGCTGGGAAGACCAAGCACAGGCTGGTGGGTTGAGCTGAACAGCTGCCTCAAGGGCCTGCTGAGGAGAGGAAATCCCAGAGAAAAGCTTTCCTGAGCAGGGGATGGCATCCGTATGGGCTTGGCCTTCTCAGCAGTCCTAACTCCTAGAGGGCTCCAGAGAGGAGGAAGGAATCACGAAGTGCTTCGAGGAAAACTGGGTCTCTGAGTGATGAAAAGTTGTGAGGAAGCGTTCTGTACTGACGAGACACAAGGAGATATTGTGTGTGACAGGGTGCGGTGGGGGAGGCCAAGAACTTGGCGAAAGCTCTCCCCATATGGCGGCCACTGGCGCAGGGGCTGCAAAAGGGCCATCTGGATATGGAGAATGGGGTCTACTCCGGCTGCTGCTGGGTCTGCTAGATTCAGAAGCAAGCCCAGCGTGGTCCTCCGGGGAAAGCCAAAATCCTGCCGGTCTGGACTCCGATTTCTGCAGGGCAGGCACACGGGCCATCACGCACTGACTTTGAGTGAGGGAGTTGGGGGGAATGGAGAAAGCGGGGCGGTGGCGGGGTGGGGGTGGGGAGGCACTGCGCAAGCAACAGGACTGGCGCTGGGAAGGGCGACTAAGTTCTGTTTCCATGGAGACCGTTCCCGACAACACTACTAAAGGTGGAGGAACCCCGACTGACGGCCAAGGTACGGAAAGAGCCCACTAGTAAAGGTTGGCGACAATACCCTGACCCCTGATCGACCCCAAACTCCTGATTCTGCCTCCCGCAGCTTCGTGACCCTGAGACGCGTCCAACCTTGCCCAGAACATTCGGGCTTGGGGTCGGGGCAGGGTTGAATTAGAGGACCGGACTGCGGGCCCCGACCCATGGCGCCCAAGAAGAAGCGCGGGCCGGGCGCCGGGCGCCGGGGGGCCGCGGCGCGAGAGGGCGCCGAGCCGCCGCTGTCGGAGCGCGGTCAGTATCTGCAGAGCAAGCACAAGCTGCTCTCTGAGGAACTGGACGCCTGTAAGCAGAGCGTCGACCAACTGCTGCAGGAGAAAGACCTCCTTGACAGAGAGGCGGCGCGCCTGCGCGAGGAGAACCGGCTCTACGCGAGCTACGCGAGCACGCGCGCGCAGCGCTTCGCCAACGCCATCGTTACGCTGGAAGATCAGAACCGCGAGAACCTGTCGCAGATCCACAGGCAGCGCGCAGAGCTGGCGTCGATCTACCGCGGGCGTGAGGACGCGCTGCGCGCGCAGCTGCTGGAGATGGAGGCGCGCGCGGCGCAGATGGCGCAGCAGGTGCAGGAGCTGCAGCCCTACAAGGTCAGTGCGCGCGCGCCCGCTGGCGGGCCGGGTGGGGGCCGGGGGAGGTGGGTGCGCGCCCCGGACCGGTGCTGACCCGCGCCCCGGCCGCAGGAGCTGCAGCTGGAGCAGCTGGCCCGGATCCGGGCTCTGGAGCGCGAGCTACTGCATGTGCGTGTGGAGCACACGCAGCTGCTCCACCGCGTGAAGCTGCAATTCCTGGAGGACAAGGCAGCGTTTGAGCGCGAGGCGCGCCAGCGCGTGCAGTCGCTGGCGCGGCGCGCGGAGCGGGAGGCGGCGCGCGCGCTCTTGGCGCACATCGAGGCCATCAGAGTGGACAATGTTCGCCTGCGGCAGGAGTTGCTGCAGCTGCGCCACCGGGCCCAGGTGCTGCATGACACGCGGCGCCAGTTGCTGGAGCAGCGCGAGCAGCTGCGGCGCGAGGTTGAGGACACGCGGGACCTGCCGCGCGTGCACGGCTGGCTGCGCCGAGGCCCCGAGGGCCCGCCGCTTTGGGAACCGTCGCCGGCCGCTTCTGACCCCGAGGCTTTTCCCTCCAAGACCCCGTCGCGCGCGACCTTCCCGGTCCCATCAGTCCCAGCCTCCCAGAACCCGTCTCAGGTCTTAAGCCGCGCGGATTCTTGGACCCCATCCCTGCCCTCGAAGGTCTCAGTTCCCAGGGTCCCGTCACTGGTCCCGTCGCGTGTTGGCTCCAGGGTCCTGTCTCTGGCCCCTTCGAAGGCCAGTTCACGGGTCCCCTCCCACGACCCATTGCACGCGGGCTCCAGGGTCCAGTCCTTGTCCATGTCGCACCCAGGTTCCTGGCTCCCATCCCTGACCCCATCCGGCCCGGGGTCCGGGGTCGCGTCCTTTAAACCGTCCCGACCCGACTCTCAATTCTCTTCGCGGTCCTCACTGCATGCCGCCTCACAGAACACCATCCTCTCTGGGAAGCTCGTCCCCAGGTCGGGCTCTTATCCTCTGCCAGTTGAAGAAGACAGCGACCGTGATGCTGCAGATGAAGCTGCCTCCGGGAGAGCCTGAACCTACCTCGAGGAAGGCTAGTGAGGCCAGAAGGTGGCGGGGAAAGGGGCTGTCCAGGAGGCGGGTTTGGTGAGTGGATTATGAATAAAGGCGTGACTCCCTCCTCCACTCTCCGCTCTGGCACTACCTGCTTCGCTGTCCAGAGTTTCTGGCTAGCGCAGGGGACACTCATGATGGCTTCCAGTTTTCAACCTGCTAGGCTGGTCGTTCTCTGCTTTGGGTGTCTGCCGGGACTTCACAGCTGGTTGCACTGCCTGAGGCAGAGAGAGACGACCACGCCACCGTCCTGCCCACAGGGCTGATAGTCTGGTGGCAGACACGGACATCGGGGGCATGGACTGGTAGTATGCGAGCAGGGAGGGAGTCTGGCAGGCCAGGGAGGCGCTGGTGGAGAGTCTCAGGCCCTCGGGAGCCATCGGAGGGGCTGGGCTTTGTTCTGGCACCAAAGGGAGCCGCGGGAGTTTTTATGTTTAACCTACTGGGGTTTTTCTTTCTTGCCCTGCTGGGCGGCTTTTGGAATCTCAGTTCCGACCAGGGATTGAACATTGAGACTGGGCCCCGGCAGCGCAGAGTCCTAACCACTGGGGAATTCCGGGGATAATTTTTAACTTTGATTTCGCTGTCAGATCCAGTGCATGGAGGCCGGGTAGTACGGTGTCCATCACGTGTGGTTTGCATTCCTCGAGGCTGTATCAGGGAGGTAAGTGTGAGGGAGACCAGGCCCCACGCACCCTTACCGCTGGCCGAAAGGGTAGGGATTTCATGACAAGCGCAGAGCGAGGTTTCACGGGGTTGGAAGAACCAACCGGCGAGGTGGCCGCAGCGCTCCTGGGCGTGGAAACCCCGAGGGGCTCTCCGGTCTCCACAGGCAGACGCGCCACCGTGCCCAGCGGACCTGGGCCCTTTGGAGAAAGGAGTTCAGACCGCAGCTTTCAAACTGGGCCCCACCCCCGCACCCCGACGCCGCCCTTGGAAATTTAAATATTCTGGTTCTAGGCTGAAAATCCTCAGAGGCGCCTGGCAGCAGCAAACACAAATTCTCTGGGAAAAGTTTGTTTGAAATCCAGGACAGTCAGGTTCTCAGAAATGATTTCAATTTTAAAGGGTCTCTTTAGAGATTTGGGAAAGGAAGTAAAACAATTTGAGTCTGTGGCAACTGGTGCCAGATACAAAGTTGCTCCCAGAGGTCAGAATAGTAAAGTAAAGGGTTCTGATTGGCCAAAAATGCAACAATTTCAGCATCAAAAAGGATGTATTGAATAGAAACACATCAAATACATAAAATACATGAACTTAAAATGCAATAATCTAGCATTCTAAAAATTGCTAGATTGTGAATTCCCTGATGGCCAGTGGTTAGGACTCTGTGCTATCACAACCTGGGTTCAATCCCTGGACTGGGGACTAGGGTCCCACAGGCTGTGTGGAGGGGCCAAGTGAATAAATAATAAAATTTGGTAAACAGAGAATCACACATCCAGTCTGCCTTTCCCATATGACCTGAATGTCAGGATAAACAAATTGTTGGTGAAGGAAAATTACATACAGAACTCCACCTGATACAGGTGTAGAAAAAATACTCAATCATGATGGTTGCTAAAGTCTATGGGTGGAATTTGATGAGGATAATAAATGGGTATAGTTGATCCCTGAATCCATGAATGACCCTGACTTTACTAAGAGTGAGATATGAAGTGCCTTCTGGTGTGAAACAGTAGCATCTACACCAAGCAACCTATACAGTGTTAGAAACAACATTCATATAATCCAGCTTCTAGTTGTTAACTACCAGGATACAAGATACAGGGGACAGAGGAATGTGTTAAAAGGCAGAGTAAGGATGCAGTCATCCAAACCTCTATAGGACAAATGACTCTCCTTTTTTGCCAAAAATGAATAGCAAAGAATTTTTTAAAAGTATAGAGGGGAAATTGTTAACAAGTATCAGAGGCTCAGGGCTTCTCTGGTAGCTCAGTGTTAAAGAACCTGCTTGCCAATGCAAGAGATGAAGGAGACACAGGTTCGATTCCTGGGTTGGGAAGATCCCCTGAAGAAGGAAATGCAACCCACTCCAGAGCTCTTGCCTGGGAAATCCCGTGGACAGAGGAGCCTGGCGGGCTACAGTTCACAGGGTAGGTAGCAAGGAGTCGGGCACAACTTTGTGACTAAACAACAGAGACTTAAGAAACATTGCCACTAAACGGGACTTGTGGACCTTGCTCAAGCCTTTGCTTTAATTTGTGGTGTTAAATCAATGGAATGTTTTGGTAACCAGGAAGCTAATGGACAGCAGCACAGTCCACAATCCTCTTCCCAGCACTGACACTTCACTGCCCTCCTGCCTGGACACCTCGGGTCCTCAGGACCTCTAGCCCGCTAGTTTCCATGAAGTAGCTCCCTGAGAGACAGCTCTGAGTAGGTACTTGTCAATTTCTTTGTAGTTCTGTTATTTTATGTGTGCTGAAGCAATTATGAGTTGCATATGTGTGTAGAACTACTGGCTATCCTCTGTGCACTAACTCTGTCTTCAGTCTGCAGTGTTCACTGCTGCCCACAGCCTGACAGTAATATGGCAGCTCCAGCTTTTAGGGGGCTTGTCTTGCACCCCCTTTCTACCAGTGTCAGTTTTATATTTTAGATGTGTCCCTAGAATCAGTAAATATGGTTCTTGTATCTTATTATTTTTATATTTACTTATTTATCTGTTTCTGACTGCATCAGGCCTTAGTTGTGGTGCATGGGCTCAGTTGCCCCCTGTCATGTGGGATCTCAACTTCCCAACCAGGAATGGAACCTGCATCCCTCTCATTCTTGTATTTTAAAATACAGTCTGCCAGTCTCAGTCTTTTAAGTTCAGGGCATATTTTACATTGGTTTACTTGCAGTGTTAATAGCAGTATTCTTTTTTATCAGTTAATTTTATACTTTCTGTATTTCTCCCCTTGTGTTTCAGCTGAACCCTCCTCCCTCTGATTTCATTGTTTCTCTGCTTGTGTGACAGTCACACTGTTCTCAGTCAGTGGTCACCTGAGAAGTGTTAATGCACAGTTGAACTATAATTCATGGAGATATCTTGACTGTCTTCCCAGCCCTTGGAATGCTTTAGATTTCCGTCACACCTTCCTGACTTAGAATCTGCTGGTAACAGGATTTTAGTCCTCCCCCCCAGTGACTCACGCCTGCTCCACAATGGAGGGGAGTTTAGGAGTGGGGTGGGTGCTAGCATCATTAAGGAAACCACTGGGTGTCCTGTGTCCCCCCTGCCATACAAAAGACTCTGACGTTCCAGAGAGCAAGCCACAGGCTGCCACCAAGTGGTGACCAAGACCACCCATTTATGGCTGAAAGCCAACAGCTTAGCCAGATACCCGACTGGATGATTGGGGATCAGATCCCACCCTGATACCTCCCCAGGAGATGGGACCAGGACAGGAAGCCCATACCCACAGCACTGCACACATGGAGATTCTTGGGTATTTCCCCCCAAATCAGATTCTTCCATCAGGGCTTCATTATCCTTCACCAAGTTTTGAGAATAAGCCACAAGTTCCGCCCCAAACTATGCAGACCTGGTCTGCTCAGATCCAACTTCTGCCCAGATGATCTGTTCAGAATCACCCTCCTCAGGATCCCAAAGTCTCTGGCTACAGTGAGTCCTTGTGTCTTTTCCAGGTGAAGAAGGGTGCCCTGCTTCAGACATCCATCGAGCTATTCCTGATGATGCAAGAGAGGACAGTGTCCAAGACAGCTTAAGAAAAAGGCCAGCAGGAGGAAGATGCCTAGTTCCCCGGGTATGGGATGAAACAATGAGGTCACACTACAGATCCTACAGACATGAAAAGTAGTGTTACTTCTGCTCTGACCAACTCTGGCCAACAAGTTCAGCAACTCAGATGATGAAATGGACAAATTCCCTTATAGACATAATTTTATGAAACTGACAAAAGAAGAAACCTTGTCACAGAAAAAACACTGGACTGAGCTGATTCACTGATGAACTCTACCAAACCCTCAAGGAAGACTATACCAAACTTAGAAGCCGGTAGGAGAACAAGGGAAAGCAAACCCATTCCAGCTTGTGTTATGAAGCCAGCAAAACCTTCACCTGATAAAGACATCACAAGAAACATACAAAAATACTTTCTCATAAGCAGACACAGAAGTCCTTAACAAAACATTAGGAAGGCCAGTACAGCCATTTACTAAAAGAACCCTGTATCATGTCTAAGTGAGTTTATCCCAAGAATACAATGTTGGTTTTATCTCCAGTGCCTGGAGTGAGGGACTCCAGTGCTGGAAGTGTTCAAGAAATTCCAGGTTGGTGAACACATGGCGATTCAGGAGAGTAGAGTGTTTGGAGAGACCATGGAAGACCATGGGCCATTTCCCCATACTTTCCGTATGTGTCTTCCATCGGGCTATTCTGATCCTTATCCTTTGATTATAAACCATAATCCAGTGAGTTAAATGTTCCTCTGAGTTCTGTGAACTACTCTAGCAAACTAATCAAACCCACAGCCTCTGCTGTGGTAACCTCCAGATCTATAGCCAGTCAGAAGCACAAGTGACAACCTGGACTTAAGTTTGGCCTCTCAGCTGTGGGGGGAGAGGCAGCCTTCTGGGACTGAGCCCTTAACTTGTGGCATCTGACATTATCTCCAGATACAGTGTGTCACAATTCAGTTAGTTGCTTGGTGGTGTGGGAAAAAACACACATTCGACATAGGAATATATTTAACAAACCATCTACTCTCAAAACGACAAAACAATGCTAAGCAAACTTTAAGATGGAAACAAACGGAGTGATGTCCCCCGGTTATGGGTGTCATCAGTTCTCCCTAAACCAATCTAGAAATCCAACACCACTCCAAGCAAAACCACAGCAAGTTTTTTTTGGTTTTGTTTTGTAGCAATCAACAGGATGACAATTAAATTTACATGGAAAAGCAAACGACATCAAATAACCCGTCTTGAAGAACAAAATTGGAAGACTTACACTCTCCTTGATTCTAAGACTACAGTAATTAAGACAGTGTAGTACTGGCACAGACATAAATAGATAGATCAATGAAACAGCAGAGAGTGCAGAAATAGACTCACCCATACAATTAGGTGGGTTTCTTTGTTTTTGGTAGTGCCAGGCAGCTTGCAGGATCTTAGTTCTCTGACCAAGGAATGAACCCGAATCTTCAGCAGTGAAACAGTGGAAGCTTAACCACCTGACTGCCAGGGAACCCCCCAGTTAAGTGTGTTTTATGACATGGGCATCAATGTAATTCATACCATACCCCAAAATAATTTAAGATCGATGTTGGACCAAAATGTGAAAGATGAAACTATAATGCTTCTAGAAGAAAAGAAACTGAAGAATCTTTTCCTAACCTTCAGAACGATCCCATGGTTTTACAGGAAAGGCAGGTCCTTTTGTGATGGCTACACTTCAGAAAGATTATCCCTTCCGTGAGCAAATCGTACAGCAGCAGGGCAGGACGGGATAAGGGAAACCAGGGAGACGATCACTGACCACTGAGATGGTCGAGTGGAGGGATGAGTGGGGGCCCGGGCGGAGACGTGGAGGGTGGAAACGGAGAGGGCAAAACTCAAGGCGATTCCTGAGTTAGAGCGCCAGTCATCTCGGCCAATGGGCTAGACAGAAGTACGTGGCTCCCACCTGTGAAGGAGTCCTGAGCGAGGGTAGTTTTTGGTACTAAGCAGGCAGCGGGGTACAGCAGCTCCCACCGGAGCGGTCCAGGTTGAATTGACAGAAGTCGAGGCTACCCAAACCACCCGGCCGCCCAGGGAGCGCGCAGCCGGAAGCAGAAACAGGCTCGGGCCTGATGAGGGTGGGGGCCGGCGCCCGGAGGAGCGTCAGGCCGGCGGCCACACCTAGACTAGCTGGCGAGGACCCGGAAGTAACCTCACCTGGGAACTCTACAAGTAGGCCGGACGGGACCGGCCATGACGCACACGCCCCAGCGGAAGTGCTTCTCTCACCGCCGGAAGCGGCGCTTCCGCCCCTTTAGGAGTTTGTCTTAGTGACTTTGTTTGCCCGAGCCCGCCGGATTCGTCCCACCCTTCCCGGCTGCGGGAATAATGGAAACACGGCACGTCAAAATCTGTTGAATGCAGCTAGAGCGATGTTTAGAGGGATGTTCCTGGATTTAAATATTTACATCAGAAAAGAAGAAAGGTCTAAAACTATCTAAAATTCCACTTTTTTTTTTTTGATGTTTGACTGTGCTGAGTCTTCCTTGCTGGGAGGCTTTCTGTAGTTGAGGAGAGTCGGGGGCTACCCTCTAGCTGTGAGCGGGCTTCTCATTCCCATGGCTTCTCCTGTTGCAAAAGCACAGGCTTTAGGGTAGAGCCGGCTTTAGTAGTTGCAGGTTCCAGGGCTCCAGAGCCTCATAGCATGTGGGATCTTCTTAGACCAAAGATTGACTCCATGTCCCCTGCATTGGCAGATGAATTCTCAACCACTGGGCCACCAGAGAAGCCCCCCAAATCCTTCACTTCAGTTGATCGGTCGTGTCCGACTCTGCGACCCCATGGACACCACGCTTCCCTGTCCATCACCAACTCCCGGAGCTTGCTCAAACTCATGTCCATCGAGTCAGTGATGCCATCCAACCATCTCATCCTTTGTCGGCTTCTTCTCCTGCCTTCAATCTTTCCCAGCATCAGGGTCTTTTCTAATGGTTAGTTCCTCGCATTGGGTGGCCAAAGTATTGGAGTTTCAGCATCAGTCCTTCCAGTGAATTCTCAGGGCTGATTTCCTTTACGATTGACTGGTTGGATCTCCGTGCTGTCCAAGGGACTCGCAAGAGTCTTCTCCAACACCACAGTTCAGAAGCATCAATTCTTTGTGCTCAGTTTTCTTTATGGTCCAACTCTCACATCCATACATGACTACTGGAAAACTCACAGCTTTGACTAGGTGCACCTTTGTCAGCAAATGTAACGGCTCTGGTTTTTTATATGCTGTCCAGGTTGGTCATAGCTTTTCTCCCAAGGAGCAAGCTTTGACTAGGTGCACCTTTGTCAGCAAAAGTAATGGCTCTACTTTTTTTTTTTAATATGCTGTCCAGGTTGGTCATAGCTTTTCTTCCAAGGAGCAAGTGTCTTTTAATTTCATGGCTGCAGTCACCATCTGCAGTGATTTTGGAGCCCCCCAAAAACAAAGTCTGTCATTGTTTCCCCATCTATTTGCCATGAAGTGATAGGACCAGATGCCATGATCTTAGTTTTTTGAATGATGAGTTTTAAGCCAACTTTTTCACTCTCTTCTTTCACTTTCACCAAGAGGCTTTTCAGTTCCTCTTCACTTTCTGCCACAACGGTGGTGTCATCTGCACATCTGAGGTTATTGATATATCTCCTGGCAATCTTGATCCCAGCTTGTGCTTCATCCAGCCCGGAATTTGGGATGATGTACTCTGCATATAAATTAAACAGGGTGACAATATACAGCCTTGACATACTCCTTTCCCAATTTTTTGTATAGTTCTTCTGTGTATTCTTGCCACCTCTTCTGCTTCTGTTACATCCATACTGGTTGTCTTGTATTTTGTCCATCTTTGCATGAAATGTTCCCTTGGAATCTAATTTTCTTGAAGAGATCTCTAGTTTCTCCCAGTCTATTGTTTTCCTCTATTTGTTTGCATTGATCGCATAGGAAGACTTACATCCTCTTGCTGTTCTTTGAAACTCTGCATTCAGATGGATATATCTTTCCTTTTTTCTTTGCCTTTTGCTTCTCTTATTTGTAAGGCCTCCTCAACCATTTTGCCTTTTTTTTTTCTTTTTTGCCAAAATCCTTATAAGTAGATAAGACAAACCACCCAGTTTTTAAATGGACAAAAGATCACGTGGATTCTCCATATCATTACTCAGTGTGCCTGTGCGTGCTCAGTCACATTAGACTCTGCAACCCCATGGACGTAGCCTGCTTGACTCTTCTGTCCATGGAATTCTCCCAGCAAGAGTAATGGAGTGGGTTGCCATTTCCTCCTCCAGGGATCTTCCTCCTCTTCCCAGGGATTGAACCCAGGGATGTCTCCAGTGGCTCCTGCACTGGTGGGCAGATTCACTACTGCTGAGCCACCTGGGGAGTCCCATCATTCAGTAGGCAAATACAAAGCATAAAGCACAGAAGCATAAAGAGACACCCATATATGCCACTGGAGTGGATTAGATTTTAGAAGTGTCACCATACTACATGTTGATAAGGATGTGGACCAGTTGAACCCTGACAGTGGCAAGAGAGGCCATAACCACAATGAAGAACTTTTTGGCAATTCCTTATAAAATTAAAACTCATGTATCTTATAATCCAGCAATTAATTTCATAGACATTTACCCAAGTGAAATAAAGAGGCAAGTCCAAATACTTTTATACAAATGCTGATAACTGTTTTATTCATAACAGCCAAAACTGGAAACCCAAATTTCTACCAACAGATGAATGAATAATATATGATGTTGACCTTCACCCATACAATGGAACACTACTCACAAACAGCTCTGGAAACACAGAGCTACTTGGTTTAGTCTTTAAAACATGCCAAAGTGGAATAAGTCAGACACACAGGATTACATGCCATATGAATCCATTTATGCGAAGTCCTACAACAGGCAGAAGGAATACATACTAACAAAGTGTTTACTTGGGCCTGGAGTGGGACCTGGGAAAAGGGCAAGAGGGAACATTTTTTGGGTGACAGAAATGTTATTTTTCTTGATTGTCATGATGGTTATACAGGTATATGGATTTGCCAAAATTCTGTACACTTAAAATGAGTGTGTTACTATATGGCAATTGGACCTCAATCAACGTTGGTTAAAATGGTCTGGTAATATGTTTCTATACCATTTGAAACATCTGTTATGGGTGAGTCTTCCAACAATGGAGTACTATATGCTTTGTACCCACTCAAGGCTTCTAGAGTTGCTGGAATTTAAGAACTCAAGATATGCCCTCATGGGCAGTACATTCTGACAGCATTTCAAAACTGTTTTCATGTTCAGATAAAGAAATTTGATGCAACAACTAACACTTCTGCTAGACAGTTATCCACTGTGTGATATAACTCACCTGCTTTAGATCAGAGAGGGATCCTCCAGGCCTCCTGTTTCTCCAGAGTCCCTCCCAGACCACCCTCTTTTTTAGGTGACAAGTGTCTACTTGTCCAGTTCACTGTCACCTCCTCCATGAAGCCACCTCACATCTCCACACCAAACTAGCTGCCTCCTGACCTACACCCCTGCACAACTGGAAACATACTTCAATTCCAACACTGAACTCAGCTTGCCATGACCTTTCTGCCTCCATCAGACTATGGACAACTTCAGGACAGATGGTGTCTTATTCACCTTGGTTTCCAAGTATTTAGCACTGGTCCTTTTGATCAATACATTTTCAAATCAGTGAGAAAGTGAGCTGGAGAACAGGGAGGTGGGGAAGAAGTTGGGCTCAATCATGGAATTAAGACAGAAGAAAGTCATGAAGTGTATCAGGACTGTGTGCCCTCTGAGTGAATTAGAGATACACAAAACACTAAATGAAGATGAGCACCCCCCCCCCCACAGCACCCCCAAGCGAGTGGACAGTCATTCATAGACAAACTCTGAAGGCAAAACATATAAGAGGCCAGTCTTACTCTGTTACTGCCTGCAAGTGTCAAATGCATTACGAACAGAGACATCAGCAGGGCCAAGAGGAGGTATTTCCAGTAGACCAGCAGACTACACTGTCACAAAACAAAAAAGCAATGACAAAAAAAAAAAAATTTTTTTTTTAATGTTTTAAATAACAGTGTAGATAGGACAAAGCAAGAGAGGTGCCAAGTGCACACAGACTGGGCTGTGCTTTTTATTGCTCTGCTCCAGATACCAGGGACACACAAATCAGTGAGATACACTCACGGTCCTTAACAATGAGAGAGCACACAGAACAATCAGAGCAAGCACAGTAACAAGAGGTGAATGGCAACTGAGGATCAGAAGCAGCAGAGGCGTAGTGGACTGAACCCAACACGAAGCTTGGGATGGGTCTTGACTCGTGATGGGTCATCAGCCAGATGAGAGGGGGCACTTGAGCGTCGGCTGGGAGGCAGGAGTACCTGGATGAGGGGGCACATCCAGCAGTTGGTGCTACCTCTGTGACCAGGAGTGAACAAGGAGCAGATGAGGCTCCAGGAAGCCTTTGGATGCACGGTGGGGAGTTCAGAATTTCTCCTAAGGACCACAGGGAATCAAGTTGTGGTTTTAGGTAACAAAGTATCTTTCTCCAGCTTGCCTTTCTGACAGATCAAAAATGGCTGAGGAACACTCTTTTGAAGTTATAAAATTAGATACATAACTCTGCTTTAAAAGGGATTTAACTCAAGGGTGAATTGTTACTGTGCAGTGGAATAAAATCTTTTTCTCCGAGGCCAAGCTCCTCCCTCCTACACCCACAGCTCTCCCATAACTGATCCAGCTCCATGCCAGCTGTCCAATCGTGTGGCTCTCCTGCAAGCATGTGCTCCCAATGGAGGACAGTAGGCCCCACTGCAGCCAAGTGAGAGGGCAGCCCCGCCCATCCATGACCCTGGAAAATGCTGACTCCTCCAAAACCTCACAAATCAGGGCCCCTGCCACTTGTTTCCAGCATCACTAAGTGAGCCGGAGGATAATTAGAAGTCTGTGTGCCCCTCCGGGCCTCCATACGTGTCCCCCAAGTGTACAGCTGTCTGACTCAAGGGAAGACCCTCCTGGGGGGCCTCCTGACTGCTTTTAAAGTCTGGGGGTGGGGTGAGCTCTTTCCCATACTGACTACACTCATAGAGTTTCTCCTCAGTGTGGATCTTCTGGTGCTGAAGGAAGTTTGACCTCTGAATGAAGCCTTTCCCACAGTAACTACACACGTAGGGTTTCTCTCCAGTGTGAATAATCTGGTGCAGAAGGAGCTTGGAGCTCTGAATAAAGGCTTTCCCACAGTCCTTGCATTCGAAGGGCCTGTCCCCAGAGTGGATCTTCTGGTGCTCGGTGAGGTGTGCTTTCTGGAGAAAGGCTTTCCCACACTCCTTGCACTCGTACACCCTCTCCCCGGTATGAATCTTCTGGTGTCGAATAAGGTAGGAACTCAGGAAGAAGGCCTTCCCACACTCATTGCACTCATAGAGCTTCTCCCCGGTGTGGATCCTCTGGTGCTGCGTGAAGTTGGACGTCTGGCTGAAGCGCTTCCCGCACTCGTTGCAGACGTATGGCCGCTCCCCAGTGTGGATGCGCTGGTGCTGGATGAGCTTCGAGCTCCGGATAAAGGCCTTGCCACACTCGTTGCACTCGAAGGGCCGCTCCCCAGTGTGGATCCTCTGGTGCTCGATGAGGTCTGAGCGGTGGCGAAAGGCCTTGCCACAGTCCTGGCACTCGTACTGCCTCACCTCCGTGTGGACCTGGAAGTGCCGGATGAGGCTGGAGCTCCGGATGAAGGCCTTGCCGCACTCATTGCACTCGTATGGCCGCTCCCCCGTGTGGATCCTCTGGTGCCGAATGAGCAGTGAGCTCTGGCTGAAACCCTTTCCGCACTCCTTGCACTCAAAGGGCCTCTCGCGGGTGTGGACCCGCTGGTGGCGGATCAGGTCTGAGCTGTGACAGAATGCCTTCCCACACTGAGCGCACTTGAAGGGCCTTTCTCCCGTGTGTACTTTCTGATGCTCCATGAGATCCGTGTAGAGAACGAAGTCCTTGCCACACGCGTTACACACGTATAGCCTCTCCCTGCCATGAATGTGCCGATGCTCAGCCAGGTGGGAGTTCTGGCTGAAGCCCTTCCCGCACTCGTCACACCCGTGAGCTTTCTCCCCAGCACAAGAAGCCTGATGTCTGGCCAGGCCCGGGTTGAATGGGAAGCTGCGGCAGGCCTCGTGCTGGGGGGCCTCCCCCTCGATCAACTCTCTCTGAAGCAGGAGGAGGTCTGGGCTCAGGAGTGGGCTCCCCTCAGACTTACTCCCAGCCTGTGCTGCCTCTGTCGTTTGGATCTTCCAGTGGGTGACTGTCACCTGCTGGAAACCCCCTTCCTGCGAGGTGCAGCTCCGCAGGCTCTGTGCATCCAGGTTCCCTAAAAGCCTCCCAAGTCTGGGGTCAGGGCCCCTCCCAGACGTGGGGCCTGTGAGCTCCATCACTGGGAAGGCTTCGGACACTGCCTTCTGCAGATTCCCACGCCCAGAAATCCAGGCTCCGAGTCCCCTTCTGGTCAGCAGTCAGCATCTGAAATAAAGCAGAATAAGATCATCTTTCCCCTTCGTTACGAGATGGGAATCTGCTGGAGCAGATGGGGTGAACTGTGCACCTGGAGCAGCAGAGAGACGTGCCTCCTGCCCACAGCCCTGCTCAGCACAACACTCGGCTCAGCCTGCTGGCCTCTCCACTGGTGTAGGGGGCTCCACCACCAACACCAGTTTCAGGGGACAGATGGGTTGATGGGCAGGGATGGGTCTGGACTCCACTCAAAATCAAGACATGTTTCCTAAGAAACACAGGAAGACCACTCTGACCCCCACTCGGTCGCCCCCTGCCCAGCTGAGACACTGGATGGGTGAGACTCACACGAGCTCTGGCCTGTTAACCCTGCTCCCCTGCCCTCTCCTTCCTCCACCACGTGTACCCTCTAGCCCTCCCCTTGGGGCAAAGCTCAGCCTGCTTCCTGATGGGTGTCTCCTTTCCTGGTAATGGAGCTCTCACGTTTATAACCACCTGCCTGACAGGCCCCGGGAGCTGCCAGCAGCTCCCACACATGGCTAACTCTCCCATGAGACCATCTCCTGGCTTCTCCTCTCAAGAGTGCAACAGGACTCCCCACCCCAGGGATGATGGCCTTGTGGCTTCTTCCAATGAGAAAAGAGAAGCAATTAGATGAGAACACCCACTTTCTCCCACATTTACCACGCTACCAGCATTGGCGCCCATGCCAGGCCCGCCCTCTGTACTGGGTTAAACGTCCTCCATGGAATCTGAAGTAAACGCGTCCATCTGTGCACCCTGCACCCACCCAGCAGCAGAGTCTGGGGTAGGAATGGTCACCACAGCACCACGCAGTCACCAGAACATCCATCAACAGAAGAAAGGGCCAACTGAGGTGTCCTCCAGGAAGGAGGGCATCCCTGCATCAGAGTACAGGTGGACCTCCTGGGGTGACACCGAGCCCAAGAGCTCAGTGTGTGGTCCTACTTCCACGGAGTTCAGACGCACACAAAGCTGGCCATGGTGGGAAATTCGAGTCACGGATGGTCTTTAGGAAGATGGTGCTTGCAAGTACAGGGGGGCACTGTGCTGCACAGGTGTGTCTGCCATGGAAAGCCTGTGCTTAGGGAACCTCACACCATTTTTGGGACATGCCTTCAGCTCTGGAATTCTTGCCCCAACAGAAAATTTCTCCTTCAGCAGGAATTTGCTGAGGGGATGCCCTCTCTACTGCCAGCCCTCCACCACTACAACCCATCTGCTATCTCACAAGGCGGCAGGTCAGACACCAGCCTGACCCAAGTGGGCCCCTGGAAAGGGTTGCACGCGGTGTCAGCCAGGCTCAGGAAAGCTCTAGAAGCTTGGGAAAACTGTCTCCACCTCACTCAGGTTGTTGGCAGAACATGGTTCCCTGTGGTCGTGGAATGGCCCCTTGGGAGCACCCACACCTTCCAGGTAGGAGCAGCTCAGATGCCCTCTCCTTCTCTTCTGCAAATAGCTGCAAAAACCCTGCTTTCCAAAGGTTCATGATGAGCCCCACCTCTTGTCAAATGGCTGAAAGAGCCCTCCCTTGCGTCAGGAGGAGTGCAGAACCCTGCCTGCCTCACCCCAGAGGGGGCCTGGCCCATGACAGAGCCCAGAGTGCCCCAATCTCCATGTGGGACAACTCTGAAGGGTCGTCCAGCCCCAGAACTCCACCAGCCTCAGTTTCCCCCTGCCGCCCCATCCCACCTTGCTCATAGGTGCTTCCCCGAGTGCTCCCTCCCCAGCTGAGCCCAGTTCCCGGGAGCTCCGTCCAAGACCCTGCAGGACCACTTCTCTCCCCAAATCTGCACCAGTGGGAAACAGTCCACCGGCTGTGCAACCCCACAGAGATGCTCCCAAGTCCCCAAGGGCAAAGTTGTGCCCCTGAGGACAGAGCCAGGTGGTGGGGAGCTGCTGGGGGCAGGAGGGCTCCCCAGGTTCCTTCCAACAGGCTGCTTTCCTTCTCGAGTGACAGCGCACATCTAGCACACAGTCTCCCTGGACTCCTCTGCTCGCCTTTCTAACCATACCATTCCCATCACCCAGAGGCCCCCCTCTAAGGGGAACTGTCTCTTATTGTAATTCTGCAGTTTTCAATTGCATTTAAATGGAATCATATGGTTTGTTTTGTATCTGCTTTTTATTCAATAGGCACCCACTTTTTTATAGAGCTAGAACTCACACATCATAAAAAGCATCATTTTAAAGCACACAATTCAGTGCTTCTTAGCATATTTCTAAGGTTGTAGAACCTTCCACACTAATTTGAGCATCGTCAAGATCCCCCCCCCCCCCCAGGTGTCTGCTGACGCTGAGCACCACACCAGGGAGGCCACCTGTGTTGCATGGACCTCAGTGTGGGCAGCCTTCATGGCATGAACACATCGCTGTGTCCTTCCCACGATTCTGCCCTCCACCCCAAGGGGCTGGCAGCTCAGGGCTGGGCACGGTCCTGTGCTTCTCTTCGGGCCGACAGAGGTCCCTGCTCCCGCTGAGCCCTGGAACTCCCTCGTTTCAGTGGCTACAGCTCAGGCCGCCCTTGGAGACTCCCAGGAACTGCTGACGCTGTGGACCAGTGACTGCCTGTGCTCTGGGCTCCTCCCCTTCCTGAGTGGACGCATTCATGTGGTCATCTACTCTTGCTGGGGGAGGAGGCAGCTTCTGGGGAGTTTAGACTGTGACTGTGTGGACATGCACTGGTGCTGAGAGAAGGCCACAGGCCAGGGATCCTGGTTCCGGGCTGGAGGCAGCAACTGAGCATGGCCTAGTGTGGGGGCCAGAGGGCCAGCTGGTCAGCTATAGCAGACATGAGGGTGCTCAGTGTCCCTGCTTTGAGTGACAGAAATCCCTCCAGAAATTTCAGTGGACACAGAGCCAGCAGCGAACCACCACATTTCCAGAAGTCCCCTGATGTCAGGGGTGACCTGTGACTGATTCCAGGGCGCCACCCTCTAGCCCAGCCCGAGGGATGGGCACGAGGCTGCACCGCAGGCTCCTGGGGGGCAGGCCCTCCCCCTGCTTCTGAGATGGGATACCAGAAACCAAGTTTACTGTTGGGAACACTAGTTTTGAATCTCCATTACAGCAAGAGAAACCCATGCTTAAATAATGCTGTTAAGACAACCTGACTATTCAGATGCAACATTCCCTGTGATGATGAAGACACTGAACCAACAGCAGACAGTAAGAGAAGCTGAAAGTCTACTTGAGGCGTTTCTCTCCATGTGAGGTTTGCAACACAGCTTCCTGGAGCAGTGGCCCTCTAGGGCGCCCTGTGACACAGCATTTCTGACCACTGCCCGGTGAGATTCACTGACACTGTTCTTCTGAGTTAAAGGCCCACTAACTTGATTTAAATCTTTCTCCTACCTACAGAAATTACTTTAGTTATTTTTTTCAAGGCATAAGGGTAAACTATGCCAGTTGAGAAAGACTAAAATTATTCTTAACCCCAGTACTCAGATTACACATTGATGTTTTTCTCTGACGTTTTTTCTGCACCAAGGTATTATGAAATGAGGACCACACTCCTCAGTCTCATCCTATTTTACTTCACTTTTATACTGTCCATTCTGAGCAATTATAGACATAAGACCCATACTGTAAGAACACTTCAAGTGGTAAACAAAAATGAGGATAATCCCCAGCAATCCCAGAGACCACTGCAAGCTGTTCAGTTTATACACATTCATCCAGACTTCTGCTTAAACAAAAATGACACATTTACTTCCATGCATGCCATCTGTAGGTATAAACACGGGGTCACATATACCTGTCCATCTGTACACCCTCCCCCAACTTCTAACACATACCCGAATCCTTCAAGTTCATTCACACGGGGCCCTGGTACTCCGAGGCCCCACTACACTTCAGATGCCGGAGGTGCCCCTGGTGTCATGAGGAACGACATTCCCTGAAGTACTTGGCCCACCTCCCTTCCCGAGACTAGGGGAAGGAGTTAGCCGAATGAAAGGTCTGGGAGAATAACTAGTCATGTCGGACCCAGCCTCATCCACTGGGGCACAGGTCCTGCTGCTCTGGACCAGGAGTGCAGCGCTATGGAGAGGCTGCGGCGATCCAGCGCCGCCTGTGGGCAGGCAGGACATAGCCTAACTGGACACTTGGCCTAGAGGTCCAGCATCACTCCAAGGCTTGGACAAGTGGCGAGGTGAACTTTTGCTCTTCGTGGGCCTCACTGGTGCAGGCTCGGGAGGGCAGGAGCGGTGCTATTGATGAGCGCCCCTCAACCCCAACCCGGCACTGCTGAACTGGCCTGTACAGTCTCAGGCACACCTCCAAACCTTGCAAGGCAGACATGACCTCGATTATTTACTCTATTTTACAGAGGCTGAGAAAGTCAATTACCCAAGGCTGCTAAGCCAGTCAGTGGCAGAGCTTAGGTTCAGAGTCAGGCCTGTCTGCCTCCAGAGACCATTCTCAAAGATGTTTTTCCCTCCCCAAGTGTGATGTTGCTGTTACAGGGTATTTTGCTTAGAGCAGCTGGGATTTGTATTCTAAAAGTAAGCTTATATTTTAAATCTTGTTTTTTTTTTTAATCCAAACAAGGAAGTATATTTGGTTTTTTGTTTTGGAGGTGATATTTCCTGATTTTTTGTTGTTGTTGTTTAAAAGGACTGTTATAACACCTGAAAACAGGCTTGTGTCTATTTATAAGAATATAGCTTTAAAATGTGTGCCTTCTCGTGATTTTTATAACTTTAACTTTTCAGGAAGTTTTTAAAATTAAATATACCTTGCTTTGAATAAACGTTTATCTGAATATCAGCAATCTTTCAGTTTCTGCTTAATGCCTTTTTCCCCCTGTGAATTCAAATAAAGTTAAATTGATACTTTTTCATTTAAAGAAACCTGAATGAAGCAAACGAAGAAAAAATACATCAGACTGCTGGTTCCATAATGTCTGGGGCTAACATGGCCCTCCCTTTTGTTAGAACTTGCTGGACAAAATATAACACAACACTGTTGATGTTGAGATGGGCGAGCCTCAGAGCTGGGAGTGAGGCCTACGAGCCGCCAGAGTGGCTCTGAGATAAGAGGGGGCAGTGCCCACTGCAGGGACGGGAAGCTGTTTGTGCACGCACACTAGTAAAGGGGTGTTATAAGCCTTGGGCTTGCAAGTTACCAGTGTGGCTGTCTGCCGCTTACAGTCTAAAGAAAGGAAGCAGGTAGGTGTGCAGAGCTCCACCCTTGGGAGCAGCAGGAAAAGGAGAGTAAAAGGGCGCCCAAGGAAGACAGGACTAGAGCTGCAGGAGAATCTGCATCCCCGCACGGCCCCACAGCCACAGTGTCACCAACCTGCACTCGTGCCACCACAGCCACGGTGGGGACCAAGTGCCCGGCACACGCTTTTCTTATTTCCTGTGTTCACCACACAATCATCCATGAGGTTCGGGGAGGTGACTGGCTTACAGCTGAGCCTGCTGCAGGCTGCGGTCTCCTTCCCAAACCACCCACACAACCACCTGATTTTTGTTCCAAGGGCTCTGCCCAGATGTCAATGGTCTTCTCCTTTCCTGAGCAGTTCAGTGTCCTTTCATCGGTCATATTCCACAACCCGAGGCAGCACTGGACGTGCCTGACAGCTCCCTGAACTGCTTCAAGGCCCTGCCCATTTTGGGTCAGCTGCTTCTCTGAGCAGCCCTTCCATTACCAGCTTGTGAACGCGGTCTGGGCTTTCTCAGCTCCACCGTGCAAGCCTTACCATCCCTAAGGCCTTTGCAGGCGAAATCCATCCCCATCTCTCCAGGAGACACTGGAGCTAATAAGTTAGACTTGTGAAAAGACAAAGCAACCTCGCCCCACCCCGCCCCATTTCTCTGGTATCTTTCACATGAGTGACGCTGTAGCTATTGCCATTATTAAGATACTGTTATTGTTACATCTAACGAAAGTCCCACCTCCGTGGACAGGACCAAGTCCTGTCATTCACTGGGACTGGAGCTCAGGAGAAAGATGTGCTCCAGAGAGGGCACTGCGGCCTGATTAAGAGCATGAGCTCTACAGACAAATTGCCCGAGTTCAAACGGGCCTCCACGTAACACTCCCGGGAACACAGAGAGGCATGCTACTCAGGCCCTGAGGCTCCCATGACTACGATGCAGCCACCGCATGAAGGGTAAGACGTCCAGGGCACCAGCAGAGACGGCCTCCAGGACTGATATGACTCGAGAAAAGGACGGCGCCGCCCAGCATCTGGAGGGGATTCTCTTCTTCACCTCTACCCCGCCAGGGCAGCGGTGCCGGCTCTGCACCTCCTCCAGCACAGGCAGGCTTGAGGCGCCGGTCACTCTCCCAGCATCATCTGGAGAGCTCCCTCGGGCTCGAGGGAGAGGCCGGCGGGCTTGGAACAAAAGAGCAGCACTACTCACACCATGCCCTTCACCTACCTCCAGGCCACCCCAGAGTCGGCAGTGGGCTTGAGAGCCGCGACACTGACGCTGCAGCTGGGGCTCTACGCCTGGGGTGTGTGGCCTCTGGAGCCGGGGAAAGGAACCAAGAGAGTGGAATCAGGCATTTACCCACACGACGTTCCCTGGGGAGAGAAGCTGCGGGACCCGGGCCGGACTGTAGTCCAGCGGGGGCAGCCGTGACGGCTGCTGGGAGCCGGGCTCACTGAGCCCGAGGCTCCGGGACCCCCGTGCGGGGCCGGCCGCGCTGAGCCCGCCCGTCCACCCGACTGGAGGACCCTGCCGACCCGCTCGGGGCCCGGAACGCGCCACTCACCCGGCGCCCAGCGGCGAGAGGACGCCGGAGCCCCGCACGCGGACTGCCAGCCGCCCGCCCCGCTGACCAACCGACAAAGCCTACACTGGAGCCCACACGCCGCAGCCGGAAATCGGCCCGAGGGCCCACCCTGAAAGCTTCCGGTGCCGCTCTAGGCGCTCCGGGGGCCGGCCGGCCTCTCGGTGGTGCGCACTTCCGGCCGGGTGCAGCTGGCGGGGGACCCGAGTCTAGCTAGGGCCGGGCGAGACTTCACCTCCCGCGTCCCTGCATCCGTGATCGCTGCCTGTCCCCCAAGGGTGAATTGGCTTCCTGTAAGCTGTAAATGCCGACGTTAAAAACGTCGGCAGGCGGAGCTCCCTGCGCCCTTCGCCCCGGGGCCCCAGAGCGTGCGCCGGCCCTCCGCCTTCGAGCTTGGTCGGAGGGCCGCTATTCAGAGGCGAGGTCTGGCGTGGCGCGGCCGTCGAGGGCTTTCTCCTGCTTCCCGCAGCGGGCAGCGATTCCCGAGAGTTCCCGCGTCTTCCCTTCCCTCTTCAGCCACGAGGAGGGCCCTCTGACTTAGTCCTTTTTACAGTCCAGGGACTGAAGTCGGAGAAGGCAGGTCACTAGAGGTCACACAGCTAGTGAGTGGCCAGGCCGATCGCCTCTGGGGCCACGCTCCTGGCCCGGCTATGCTGTTGGTCCCGTGGGCGCAAGGGTGGCCTCTGGGGACAGTCGTGGGAAATGCCATTATCCCACCCCCCACCCCCTCCTCCGGGGTGGAACAGCAGGCATCCAATTAACCGTCAGCTGGAGTTGGGGAACAGCAGCATTCACAAGCACCAGCTCTGTCAGGGGGTAAGATGACAGGAGCAACCTCGGGAGTCATTACAACAATAAGCCGTGCCAAAGAGGGGCACTGGGCCCTGAGGAACTGCTCCTGACCAGTCCCCCCCCCCACCCCCACACCCCTCTGCACAACAGGGAAAGCTTCTTGGAGGAGGGGGGTCTTTTATGGAAGCCTGAGAGGATTGTCTCTTAACAAAACATGGACAAGATCTGTATGCTGCAAATTAAAAGATGCTGGTGAAAGAGATCAAAGAGGAGTGAAATAAATGGAAGAGTTAAATAAATAAATATGTTCATGGATTGGAAGACGCAACATAGTAGAAATGCTAATTTTCCGTAGGTTAATCTAAAGGTCTAATGCAATTCCTATCAAAATCCCAGAAAGATTTTTAGTAGACTTAGATAAGCTTATTCTAAAATGGATATGTACAGGTTATGCCCAAGAATAGCTTAAAACATTCTTGAAGACTAAAATGGGAGGACCACCACCTAATATCAAGATCTATAATACTGCTTCTGAAATCATGACAGTGTGGCATTGGTGGGGGGACAGACACCTAGGTCCCTGGAGCAGAATAAAGAACCAGGCACAGATCCACACCAATGCGGACTTTTAACCAAAGTGCAAAAGCAATTAGATGGAGATTTCAGTTCTTAATAATGTATCAGTGTTGGCTCATCAATTGTTAAAGAAAATGTAAAACAGTTAACCTTGGAATTTTTTTGTTAAACTTTTGTCAGTATTAATAAACAGTCTGTCTCAAATACCTGTGAGTGGTGCAAAGTTCAGATAGATTTCATTTTCTCCTTAGGACCAAGATTTGCTCTCTATTTGAGAATCATGCTGTTTTGCTTAACTCTTCTGATTCTTCTAGAATCTAACCTAATCTACTTTCTTTAAAGTGCTTAGCATCCCCATCACAAGTCCAGGGGCAGCTACAAGGTCAAATGTGATAAGTTTTCCCAAGATGTTTCATCTTTGGGTAGATCCAGAAAGTCTTGCATATGATCTTTTAATTGTTCCAGAGGATGTCTTCATGATCACAATTGAGGTCAGGCTCCCAGTAACATGATACAGAACACAAAATTCTGGCTTCTACACACCTTTAACGTCTCTAATCATATCAGTGCCGGTAGTATCTACTTGCCCTTGGTAATTTTTAAAATCAATGCCTAAAATGGTAAGTTTATTTTTTTTCCAGTAGTTTCCTTAAGTCAAATGAATGTTTCATCTAGACTTACATACCTACAAATTCAAGAGAAGTATGAATCAATACTACAAAATGTTCCTCAGCTACTATTGCAAGTACTGCACTGGTTCCTGAGTATTCCTGGAGTTATAGATTGGAACAGGAAGAAAAGCAAGAAAGATTTGACCCATTAGTTATTTTACCTTTTTTCATATCTGAGTGCCTCCACTGCTCAATTTGCCCTGCAACCCACAGATCTTGTGGTCTTCAAAAAATTCTGTCAAGGGGATGAAATAACAAGCTGCAGACTGGGAGAAAATATTTGCAAATCACATATCTGACCAAGAATTTGTATCTGGAATATATGAGGAATTCACTAAACAGTAAGAAAATGAAAAATTCAATTAGAACATGGATAAAAGATTTGACCAGAAATGTCATCAAAAAACAATATACAGATAACAAAAAAGCACATGAAAAGATATTCAACATCTTTAGTGATAAGGGAAAATACAAATTAAATTCATAGTGGGATACCTATCAGAATGCATCTCTCAGAATGAATCTCTCTGAATGGCTAAAATTAAATAAAAATAGTGAAAACACTAAATTCAGGTAAAGGAGTGCATCACTCCTGCCATGCTGGTGGGAATATAAAAAGAACTCTGGAAAAGAGTTAGGTAGTTTCTTGCAAATTTAAACATAAACTTGTCATGTGACCCAGCAATTGCATTTATTGAGTATCTATCCTACAAAAATAAAAACGTATGTTCACAGTAAGGTATGCATCTAAATATTTATAGCAGCTTTATTCACAGCTGCCAAATGTCCTTTAACAGTTGAATGAACAAACAAACCCAGGTCCAGCCTCACGGCGGGGAGAAAAGTCTGCAACCAAAAGGAACACAATTCTAATGCCACATGGGCAGATTACAGGGCATTATCCTGAATGGTTAAGCCAATCTTAAAACATGATGACACCATAGTGATAGAGACCCAGGGTGATCTCCAGGGGTTACAGTCTTAGGGTGATGTGACTATACATAAGTAGCACAAAGGCATTTATTTTGTTGCCATGGAGCAATGCTGTGTCCTGATTGTGGTGGTGGTTACAAGACTCCACAGGTGTGACAGAATTTAAAAAAATATACCCCTACTCCCAAGATTGCTGGAAGAAATATCAATAACCTCGGATACACAAATGACACCATCGTTATGGCAGAAACCGAAAAAGAACTAAAGAGTCTCTTGATCAAAGTGAAAGAGGAAAGTGAAAAAGTTGGCTTAAAACTCAACATTCAGAAAACTAAGATCATGGCATCTGGTCCCATCACATCATGGCAAATAGATGTGGAAACAGTAGAAACAGTAACAGACTTTATTTTCTTGGGCTCCAAAATCACTGCAGATGGTGACTGCAGCCATGAAATTAAAAGACTCTTACTCCTTGGAAGAAAAGTTATGACCAACCTAGAAAGCATATTAAAAAGCAGACATTATTTTGCCAACAAATGTCTGTCTAGTCAAGGCTATGGTTTTTCCAGTAGTCGTGTATGGATATGAGAGTTGGACAATAAAGAAAGCTGAGCACCAAAGAATTGATGCTTTTGAACTCTGGTGTTGGAGAAGACTCTTGAGAGTCCCTTGGACTGCAAGGAGATCCAACCAGTCAATCATAAAGGAAATCAGTCTTGAATATTCACTGAAAGGACTGATGCTGAAACTGAAACTGCAATACTTTGGCCACCTGATTAGAAGAACCTACTCATTTGAAAAGACCCTGATGCTGGGAAAGATTGAAGGTGGGAGAAGAGGACGACAAAGGATGAGATAGTTGGATGGCATCACCAACTCAATGGACATAAACTCCGGGAGTTGGTGATGGACAGGGAGGCCCACTGTGCTGCAGTCCATGGTGTCACAAAGAGTGGGACATGACTGACCGACTGAACTGAACTGAACTCCCAAAATAAAGAGTTCATGCAAGACTGATGAAATCAGGTAAGGTCTGTACATGAATTAATACCATCACCCATTTCCTGGCTTTAATAATGTAAGATGTTTTATTGGGAAACACTAAGTGAAGAGAACATGGGAACTCTGTAGCATTTTGCAACTTCCTGTGAGTTTAAAGTTATTTCAAAATAAAAAGCTGAAGTTAAATAACCCCAATATAAGTTAAAGTTAATGAGTATAAAGTTGTAAAATAAAACTTGATAAATGAAAAATGCCAATATCATGACTATTTTTTAAAATACATTTGAAAAAACTTGTACAGTGAGCCTTCATATACACAGTATTTAGTTTCTACTATTACTGTTTTGCTATATTTCTTTATCGTGTGTTTATTCCCTGAATATTCATTGAAAGAACTGATGCTGAAGCTGAAGCTCCAACAGGTGGCTGTTGGCCACCTGATGCTAAGAGTTGAGTCACTGGAAAACACCCTGATGCTGGGAAATATTGAAGGCAGGAAGAGAAGTGGGCGACAGAGGATGAGGTGGTTGGATGGCATCAACGACTCAGTGGACATGAATTCGAGCAAACTCCGGGAGATAGTGAAGGACAGGAAAGCTCGGAGTGCTGCAGTCCAAGGGGTCAAGAGTCAGATGTGACTTAGTGACTGAACAACAACAACAAATTACTGTTTTGCTATCTTTCTTTATCATGTATTTACTTAGCTGTTTATCTATTCTCTCTACTCATTCATCTTATTTTTCTGGTGCATTTCAAAGTAAGTTGCAGATATTAGTATAGTCCACTCCTAATTCACCATGCAAATCACCGACTAGACTATAATATGTTTATAGGAGACATTTTAGGTAAAGCTTAGACAGTGAAATGCATGTTTTACATGTATCCTTGTATGAACTTTGACATATGCAGACACTTCTGTGACTCAAACCCTTATATAGATAAGGAGTGTCACCATCACCCCAAAGAATTTCAAGGCTCTGCGTAGCCAATGCCTCCCCCCTGCCCCCGGACTCTTAGAGACACAACACTTCTCTCAGTATTTTCATCATAGATTGGTTTTCTCTGTTCTTGAATTTTAAAGCTGAAATGCTGAAATTTAGCTTTTTTAAAATATAGTTGTCATTAAATATGCTTATAAAAATAAAATATCTGCAGTTTGAGGTTCAATGTCCATCTAATTGCCATGATAAAAAATCAGTGCAGGCAACCAATGTCTACATCGACAAATATACATGGTTGAAAGGAACGTGAATCACTTGATAGTGCAAAGTGTGCAAACATTGTGAATGCTATGGGGTGTGTGAGGAGCTCTGAAGCCACAGCCTGCAGCAGGAAGATGTTGACAGTCTGCATTCCTTTCAGTGCTGCGGCTTTTAAACCTCACCTCTCCCTCTTCCCTTTGCCCCACATCTGGACAAGTCGATGAGAAGGCCTGGGTGCTCCCTCCAACTCCCTGCCTGCAGGTGGGAATACCCTGGCTTACCCTCTAACCACCATCAAACCCCAATCCAGTCCTCTTTGCCTGCTTTTTCAAGCCATTTTCAGCGGGCTGCCTTGCTGCCCCCAGAAAAGCCTCCTCATGTAAGTAGTAAATGTTTTGCTACCTTCTTGGTGTGTGTGTGGCACCATAAGTCCACATCGCAATCAAATCTGGGGTGGGGTCTATCCCGTCCTGCAGCGTGACTGCCATAGAAGAATCAAGAGTAACGATCGTCCTCGCTACTACCAGCTGCGCTTCGTTATGCTGGACCAACTGCCTGCCAAGGATCTAGTCAGTCTCTGTCTCCTCACCCGAGCAGCACCTCCGCTGCTCCAAACCTCCTTGTACCTGGAAGCAGGACTTTTCCAACACCGGTTGGTCACAACCACAAACCTTCCTGGTATCTGGACCAGGTGCCTCTTTCTTTCTTTTCTTTTCTTCCCTCCCTCCCTTCCTTCCTGACAGAGTTGTGCCAGCGCCAAGCCCAGATCCTGGGAGGCGTGTGTGACTAGCAGGCCCTCCAGCACCGGCCAGGCAGTAGAGAAGGTGCGGAACGTCCTAGGAACGGGAGGGTGCTAAAGTCTGCCCTCCATAGAGTCTCCAGGAGAGCTTCCTCAAGTTGACTCCGAAGTACATTCAGACCCACGGAACTAGAACTTCAGCGGCAACGGCCCGTGATCTCTGAGTTCAGCAAGCGTCGCAGGTGTCCCAGGGCCGGAGCCCAAGGAGGCGGGGCGGGGGGCGGGGCCGAGGGACGAAAGGGGCGGGGCGGGGAGCTTTCGGGAGCCGAGCGGACCGGGAGCTACATCCTCGCCGCAGGCGGGCGGGACAGGGAGTGAGCCGACTTCCGTCTGCCCGCGCGGCGCCCACCCAGCTACCCTGCTCTATTATGGTTGACCGCGCGAGCTAGTGCTCGCACCTTAACGCAGAGCTCTGCGTCCTCGCGAGGCCCCTGTCCCGGCCGGCCTGCGAGCTAGAGCCGCTGCCGGGCTGGGGCTGGCTCCGGAGCCCTAGGCCCACCGCCGTTCCCTGCCTTCTCTCCTGTCTGCAGGCCGCCCTGCCGCTGCCGCTGCCCTCGCCGCGGAGGGACGGGGAGCCGGCATGGCGGGCAGCCCCCCGGACGCCTGGCCCCAGGTGAGCGCGCCTGCCCCCCGGGACCTGGGCTCCTTGCCTCCCAGAAGATATTTCCTCGGAGCCCGCTTCACTTGGGGCCCTGAGTCCCAGGTCCTCTCCAGGACGGGGCTTCACAGGGGCTTCCCTTGCCCCTCCGCGTTGTTCCCCAGGGCCTTCCGGAGGCTGCGGAGGGACACTCACCAGGAAAGGCGGTACTGAGCAGGTTGGGGTATGGATAGGTTGCGTTGACAGTTGTCATTAGGGGTTCCCTGGCAAGCAGGGTACCTTGAGATGGAGTCCAGGCGTCCCACATGCCTGCTGGTGAGCCATCTGCCTCCTCCGCCTTGAATTCTGATGTGCTGACCCCATTGGCAGAACCAGTGTTGTTTCAGGGCCTCCTGACTTTTGAGGACGTGGCTGTGCACTTCACCCAGGAAGAAGGGGCGCGTCTGGACGCTGGGCAGAGGACCCTGTATAGAGACGTGATGCTAGAGACTTACAGGAACCTGGTCTCTCTGGGTGAGCCCTTCCCTCCTCCCCACCCCCAGCCCCCCTCAGAGCTGAGGTGGGATCCGGGAGGGGCCAGGCTGGCTGTGACTCTGGGACCAGAGGTGGGACATTCTGCTCCCAGGTGACAGGTGGGGTCTCTGGACCCATCCCCAGGGCAGGGCTTCTGCCAGCACTTTGCTGCCTGGAGACTAGAGGTGTCCGTGTCTCTCACAGAGGCGGGCCTCTGTTGAGTCCTCATCCCTGCCCTGCTCCCCACCCACCTCAACCTCCTGGGGGAGACTCCATGTTTCAGAGCCTGCATCGTGGGGCCAGCTAACTCCCCAGTCCCAGACTGCCTCTGGAGCGGGAAGCCAAGTGTGCCTTAGCACTTCAGTTCACCCATTTCCTCTCTCCTCTTGGGCAGAGGTTCCAGGATCCAAACCAGATCTGATCTCCCAACTGGAGCAGGGAAGGGAGCCCTGGGGCTCAGACCTGCTGGGGGCCCAGGAAGCAGAGACTGTGGGAGATGCCGGCATAGGTGAGTGAGGGGAGCCACAGGCCTCTGGTTGTTCAGTATTTGCACTCAGCATACACAGCCAGTGTTGTCAACATCCAGACAGAAGGACACAGTCATAAAGTGCACTTTTGTTGGTTTGTCCCTTGGTGTCCTTTCCCAGGCACATGGACATCCATCAACTGAAAACAGGCAGCCAGTTAGCGATGAAGGGGTAAAGGCTGTGATTGTTGACTTCCCCTTCATTGCAGATTGAGGACAATTTTCTGGGAGTCCAGCACCGTGCCAGATGCTTAACAAATTGTGCCTCACTTTCTCCCATGGGATGAGCTATCACTTAGAACCCTCAGTTACAAGGAACTGAAAAGCCAACCAAACCAGCCAGAGCTGGTGGGAGGCTCTTGGCTCAAGTCTTGAAAATTGGGACTGGTTCTCAGCATCGTGGGTCTCAGGCTCCAAATAATGCCCTTGGCATAAGTTTGAGATCCAGAACACTTAACATCAGTCAAGCCAGACATCTCGCCTCCCAGAACTGCTGCTGGCCACAGGTAACAGTGGCCCCTGGTGACCTTTGCATGATCTGGAAGTGTCTGCCCACCTGCCCTTAAACAGGAACTTCTGTTCTCCTCACAGCATCACTTCTGACACCAAATATAGGGAGTTCCTCATACCACCCAGTTCTTTACCTCTCTGCACACCCACTGGCTGTCCTGCTGTCCAGCTCTGACACCTCATTCCTGCACTGGATGCCCGTGGACGTCTGAGCAGCGAGAGCATTGTCCCAGAAACCCTTCCTGAGGGCCAGTTCCAGTCCTTTGGGTTTCCGGAGTGTAGAGCCTTAGAGTTTCAGGTATAGATGTGTATTTGGAAGGCAGTAATTTTTGGAAGCAGGCAAGAGAAAGCGGGAAGAGAGAGAGGAGAGAAGAGTCAGTACAGAGCTGCCACTGCCAGCGTGTGGAGCACCACAGCTCCAGGAGCATGACCACTGAGAGGCTACAGGAGGCATCTGGGATTGCCCATCAGAGCAAGGGAGGGGGACACTTGTCCTTGGTCCCTCCCCCCGGGGCGGTACCTGTCTGCAGCCTGGGCTGGAAGTACAGACCTTGCCTAAGACAGAGGCACGCGTGCCCCAGAGGATGCTGGCAGGCGGAGCTCTCAGAGCTGTCTGCTGCAGCAGGGCTGGAATCCCAGGGAGGCAGGGGCTTGGTGTAAGGTGCTTGCAGCGTCAGCTACAAACTTCAACTTTCTTAGAAAAAGGTGGAGAGAAAAAGTTGACATATGAGGGGAAGGTCCATGAAGGAGGTGGGCACATTCGCACAGCCAGTAAGCCTGGACTCACCTGTGAGACACCTCGTGGAGAGGGCCTGCAGGTGGTTGATACTTGCGGGCACAGAGTGGGGGCCCAGGTGGACCTTCTCAAACGGTAACACGTGGGCCCTTTCTCTATTTCAGATTCCACCCAGGGGTCTTTGTGTAAACATGTGACTCCAAGGGTGAAAATGACTCCAGCTGCAGAGCCTCCAGGAGGAGCATCTGGAAGCCTCTCCGGGGGTGAGCCTCCAAAACCGGTCTGCAAAGAAGCCCCTGGGCAGGAGGGCAGGCTAGGGAGCCTGGAGAACTTCCTTATCCAGGAGAGACCATCACGTGGAACCTTCTGGACCATCTCCACAGGAGAAGGGGCCCAGAAAGGCAGTAAATGGGGACCCGACCTTTTCTGTAGCCGCGAGACAAACGCTAAAGGGCAGACAGCCCACACGTGCGAAACGTGCACCAAGACCTTCCGATACCTCTCGCGCCTGGTGAGACACCGGGCCACGCACAGCGGCGAGAAGCCGCACGCGTGCGGGGAGTGCGGCCGTGCGTTCAGCCAGCGCTCGCACCTGGCGCAGCACCGCAGCGCGCACGCCGGCCAGAAGCCGCACACCTGCGGGCAGTGCGGCCGCGCCTTCACGCGGCTCTCCACGCTGCACCGCCACCAGCGCGTCCACAGCGGGGAGAAGCCTTTCGGGTGCCAGTGGTGCGGAAAGCCCTTCAGTTATAGCACTCTCCTCGCCCAGCACCAGCGGATCCACACACGAGAGAGGCCGTTCCGGTGCTCAAAGTGCGGGAAGAGCTTCATCTGGAAGTCCAGCTTTCGGACTCATCAGAAATCGCACCTGTGCAGCCAGATGGCGTGGATCTCTGTAAGCTAAGTAGCCGCTGGCAGGGGGAGCGTAGGGCTGGCTGCTGCTGCAAGGAGGGCCCCAGAAGGATGTCCTCAGCACATAGTGCAGCGCAGAGTGAGACCAGCATAAGGGACTGGACTGTTTCTCCATCGTAGACCAACGTGCTCATTTCACGTCCTTCCCACAACGAGGGGTAGCCCAGGCCTGCCTGCCCCAGCCAGCAGGACCTGCTAGCCTGCTGGATTCAGTGTAGCTGTGAGACATCTGTGGACATATTGATACTTTGAAAGTTACTATTTTCACGTGCATCCAGAGTTTATTTCTGAAATTTAGAATGTAGGTCTTCGGTTTATTACATCATAGGTGGGTTCTAAATGCCTTTGAAATCCAGATGGGCTACCGAACTTTTGTATAATCAATCTTCAATCACACAGCAGCTCTGAGCATCAGGAGAAGATCATGTAACTCTGGTCACCGTTTGGTCCTGGCTGGTTGTTTTCAGATGCTAATTTGTTGAGCAGGATGTGAGTGTTCCATCTTGGGCAGCTCAGCCCTTGCTGTTGGCCCTGTGGCTTTGCTTGCTCAGCTTCACCTTTCTGCATGCCAACTCTGCTTGAGTCAGGCCATATGAAACATTAAGAGTGTGCATGTCATTTGGACTGTTCTTTTTTTCCAGCCAGTTCTTCCATAGCGAATATATTTGCATAGTATGGATGTTTTCTATACAATAATAACATTAAAAATTTAAAACACATGGTGGAAATAGAGAAAACAGATACAAAAGAAGCCAGTGGTCATGAAACACAGGATATCTATAGGAAGGTTAGTTGGCAAGAACTACCCAAGCATCAGGGGGTGGGCAGGGAGAGGCTGTGCCTTTGTGACCATCCACTGAATTCTTGGCATACCTTTCGCTGCTTAGAGGCTAAGTGTCACATGTCTAGTGAAACTAAACGTGCTCAGCCATTTTCCTGCAGGCAGATTAAATAACTTAATTACAGAAGCAATACACGATCATTTGAGGAAATATACAGATATATAAACATAAAGTAAAATATGGGACTTCTCTGACAGTCCAGTGGTTAAGACTCCAGGCTTCCATTGTAGGGAGTATGGGTTTGATCCCTGGTCAGGGAACTAAGATCCCACATTATGTGCAGTGCAGCCAAAATAAAATAGAGCAAAATATAACCGGAAGTTTTATTTTGACTCAAAGGAACCTGATAAACTGACAATGAAAAGGTGGGATTTGGGTGTTGCCCACAGTGTTTCACCCAGACTATCTAGATTCAAAGCTGTAGCAGAAGAAAACCTTCCTGAACTAAAGGAGTGCCTGCTCTTGACACTGAAAGACTTGATTGTGAGCAAAAGGAAAAACAGAGAACATGAAGTTTCATGAAATGACTGGATCACAGACACCCAGGAAAAAGAAGTAGATCACCAACAGGAAAAAATAAGCTTGCCCCAGGCTTTAATTAACAAAGACTGCAGCTCTTTCCATATTTATTTCCTTAATGTGTCACCATATTTCATTTATTTATTTTGACTGTGCCTTGGGGAGTGTAGAATCTTAGTTCCCTGAGCCCCCTGTAGTGGAAGTCCAGAGTCAACCACTGGGCTGTCAGGGAAGTCCTAGAGTCAAATTTTAAAGCTTATTTCCCTTCTTTTCCCTTTACCTCTTCAAATTAAGTTCATTAGATGCAAAAAATATGATGGAGTCTTGTCAGAGATAAAGAAGACATGGCTCAGAAACACTGGATGAAACAGGACACAATTAATGAAGAGACACTGGATGATTTTCCTTTGGGGTAGAGGAGGGAGCAGCTTCAGAGCCATGTAATAATTAGGTGTTGGAATGGATGGGCAGAAGCTTTGAAACTGCTTTTTGAGAAAATGTACTGATGTGGATATTGGGTCGTCAAGGGGTGGATTGTCATGAACATATCTTGTTTCAGCCCATCCGGAATCCATCCTCTTTTCTTTTTGTAAACGTACCTCTCCTTTGGCTTACAGCACTTCGCAGGGTCCGTTGTAGGAAGTCACAGTGGTGCTATCAGTCTGGGTGCCTTGTTTTTCTTCTTGCCCAGTCACTCTGGCCAGAACTTCCAGTACAATTTTGAGCAGAAGTGGCAGAAATGAACATTCTTGTTTAATTTCTTACCTTAAGGGGCAAGCTTTTATTCTTTCATTCATTGAGTATGATGTTGTTCAGTTGTGTCCAACTCTGCGACCCCATGGACTGCAGCACATCAGGCTTCCCTGTCCTTCACCATCTCCCAGAGCTGGCTCAAAGTCATGTCCATCAAGTCAGTGATGCCATCCAACCACTTCATCCTCTGTCATCCCCTTCTCCTCCTGACTTCAATCTTTCCCAGCATCAGGGTCTTTTCCAATGAGTCGGTTCTTTGCATCAGGTGGCCAAAGTATTGGAGTTTCAGCATCAGTCTTTCCAATGAATATTCAGGACTGATTTCCTTTGGGATGTTAAAGGAGTGTGATGTTAGCTGTGGGTTTTTCATAAATGCCCTTGATTAAGTTGAGGAAGTTCTCTTCTGTTCCTGGTTTGTTGAGTGTTCTTATCATGAAAGGGTGTTAGACTTTATCAAATGCTTTATCTGCCTCAGCTGATAACTTTTTTGTTCTTTGTTCTATGAATGTGGTGTATTTGATTCTTTTTTTTTTTTAATTGAGCCATCCCTTGCATTGCAGAAATAAATCCCACTTAATCATGTGTATAATCCTTTTACTATGCTGCTGGATTCAGTTTACAGTTGCTTTTATTCAGGCTCTTTACTTCCCTTGGTGAAAACTCCATTCACCATACTTGCAGTGCCCTAGACAGAAACCCAAACTATGTATATAACAAATACATACATGTATATATAGATAGGTAGATATAGATGTATTTCCAGGGACTGACTTACATGATTGTGGGGCTGGCAAGTCTGAAGTCTGTAGGACAGGCTGGCAGGCTAGAAGTCTCAGGCAGGAGCTAATGCTTCAGTCTTGAAGTAGAACGCCTTCTTCAGTGAAACTTCAGTTTTGCTCTAAGGCTTTGCATCTGAATGGATGTGCTCGCTCAGCCGTGTCCGGCTCTGCGACCCCCTGGACTGTAGCCAACCAGGCTCCTCTGTCCATGGGATTTCCTAGGCAAGAGTACTGGAGTGGGCTGCCACTTCCTCCTCCAGGGGATCTTCCCGACTCCGGAATCAAAACTGTGCCTCCTAAATTGGCAGGTGGATTCTTTACCACTGTGCCACCTGGGAATCCTCCTGAATGAATGAGACCCACATTATCAAGGAAAGTCTAGTTTTCTTAAAGTCACCTGATCTAAGATGCTACTGTCTATGAAGTATCTTCACTGGCAGCACCTAGATTTGTGTGTGAATCACTGGGTGCTACAACCTCGCCAAGTTGACACATAACCAGTTGACACCAACCATCACACCAGGCCTTGTACCTAACTTCTTCCCTTAGCTTGCCTAGCCAATGAAGCAGGAATCCTCTTAATTCTTCCAACTTGATGTTGCTTCAGTCAGTAAACTTCTGAGTCCTTATTACTGCAGCAGTGGCCCCCAAGCGATCTCCTGCTATTAATAATCTCGTGAAATGTGTTTGTCTTTTTAATGTATTTATTAAAGTATATTTTATATACTGCCCCCCCCCCCCTAGTGTCCTGAATATAGTAACTGTTGCGATTGCTTCTCACAAATGCAGTTTTTACCCTAGGAAAGCACCGAGCAGCTGCAGCTCCTCCTTTTTCAGAATATTCTTTGGCCCTGCCGCTACTCCTCCGTCCAGAGCCTGCGGGCTTTCGGAGATGCGCTGCCTCGCGTCCTCTCCCACGGGCCCAACGCCGGCAAGGTCGGAGTTAGAGGCTAGTAGTGAGCGGCCTTGGAGGGGCGGAGCCGACGGGAACTACATTTCCCAGGCTACTGCGCGGCCCTGGACTTCATGTCCCTGCAGCGCCCGGGGCGGCCCTCGAGGACTCCACTTCCCAGAGTGCCGCGGGAGGGCCTGACCTGGTCCTGCCCCCTCCACCTGGCCCCGGCGCGTGGCTGGGCGCTCAGCCGGCGCCGGAAGCGGCTCTGCGGGCAGGTGGGATAAGGCGCAGGTAAGAAGGCGGGGAGCGCTGAGGGGACCTCGGGGGGCGGGGGATGGGGGGGGCGCGGCATGGCGAGCCGGGGCCTGGACCTTGGGTGCCCCCTGACCATCAGAAATGCCTGAAGGGTGCCGGGAACTGGGGGCGTGGGAGGGACCCAGGAAGCACGGAAGGGGCCCAACTGCACAGTGCGAGTGGTCTCAGAGTTTGGTCCAGGGGTGGAGGACTTGGGAAGCGCCTGGGGAAACGTGGGAGGTGCCCGGCTGCAGTAGCGTCTACCCCAGGGCCTGCTGCTACACTGCCCGTGCCATCAGGAGCAGCAGAATGTCCTGGAAGGGCTCCCTCTGGTCCGGGCTGCCCGTGGGGCTCTGCATCGGGGAGTTCCAAGTCCTCTGGTAGCTGCCCGAGCAGATTTCCAGCCCCCAGGATAGGGTCCTCCGAGGTGGTGGTGCCCTGAGGCCTGTCTATTTCTCCAGGTAGCCAGAAGCTTTACCTGCCCAGAAGGAACCAAGCTTTCCAAGGCTAGCTGGAGTGGGAACTGGGCTGCAAATACAGGCGCCGCCCCTTCCCACAGTCAGTAGCATGTGGACTTTGGCCAGAAAGCCCTAGACCCAAGGTTGGCTGCCTCCTGTCTTGTGAGCCAGAGAGGAGCCAAATGTTCTCTTTCTTGGTCCAGTTGGGATCAGGGTTGGTTCTCCGGGCTGAGTGGTAGCCCCAGGCTCCCTGTGCAGCTCTAGGCACAGGGCTCCCTGGGGAAGAGAGCTGAGAGGAGCGGATGGCTCAGGCTAGCTGGGTCTGCCTGGTCCCCAGCAGGCAGTCTCCCTGGCCTGGTGACCTCATACTGTGCCCCAGCGCTAGGGGTGGTGACCCTGGGCTGGGGCAGCCCAGGGGAGTGGGGTTCTGTGGGATGGGAGCAGATGGCCTCAGCCTCACATAATTTGGCCCTACAGGTGTAGCCACCATGAGTGATCCTCGGGGGACCAGGCGGATCCTAGTGACTGGGGGCTCAGGGCTGGTGGGCAGAGCCATCCAGAAGGTGGTAGAAGATGGAGCCAGGCTGCCCGGAGAGGACTGGGTGTTTGTCTCCTCCAAGGATGCCGATCTCACGTGAGTCCACCCATCCCTGGAGCACCCCCACTGTGACCTCTCCAGACTGAGAGCTCCGGACCAGCCCTGTCCCTAGCGGGGCCTCGCATCCGGGCCCTCCCTGCCAGATGGCTGGCCTGGCCAGGGTGTGCACAGCTTTGCTCCTGGGCAAACTTCCTCCTTTCTCTTCCTGGAAGTCCACACTCTCCTACCAGCCAGGACCTGGCCTGGCCACTTTCCCTGTTGGCAGCCCCTCCTGCCTTTGGCCCCGCCTGGCTCCTGCCCCCAGTGCCTTGAGCCAGGGCGCTCCTTCCCTCGGGCCTCCAAGCAGCCTCTGACGGCCTGGCTTCCCCACAGGGATGCTGCACAGACCCGAGCGCTGTTTGAACAGGTCCAGCCCACACATGTCGTCCATCTTGCTGCAATGGTGGGGGGCCTGTTCCGGAATATCAAATACAATTTGGACTTCTGGGTAAGGAAGAGCCCCAGTGAGCACTGGGAGCCAGGATCCCAGATTCTGGGGGCTTTCTGGCCAGCTTCCCAAGCTCTTGTTCTGGCCCCATGAAGCTCCTGAGGGTCAGGGCTTGGCCCAGCAGGTGGGGTAGCCCCAAGGGCCCCCAGTGCCCTACACTTGGGCTGTAGGCAGAGGGGCACGCAGGTAGACTGGGGGATGTTTGGCCCAATAGGGAAAGCCAAGAGGTAAATGGGGTTTGGGTGAGCTGAGAGAAGCCAGCATTTGCCATGTGACTCTGCCCCAACTGCTTCCTGCCTCCTGGGCCTCCAGATGCCCCTGCTCCCAGGAGGTCCAACTGCACTAAGCCTGGGGCGCACCCTGGGCTGCAGAGGTGTGAACTGGGCCGTCCGAGGGCCCCACCCATGCCAGGCTTTGCCCCTGAGGGCTGTCCCTGTCTCTGCTGCTGGCCTTGGTGTGGTTCAGTCCTGTTCTGGGCCTGGGATGGTGGAGGCTTAGACCTGATTCTGCACATGGGCTTGTCCTCCTTGTCTCAGCGACAGCCTTCCTGGGAGACTGCCTGACCACCACCTCTCCCCTCTCCCCAGACCACCCAAATGCCCCGGCCAGCTCATGTCCTTGGAGAGGGAAGTGAGGCCCGAGGAGGGGTGTGGCCGGCCCAGGCTTCATTGCTACTGAGCAGTAGAGCCAGGGGTGAGCTCCTGGGTTTGGGGGTGTGGAAGGCCCCCATCTTCCCTCCCTGCCTCAGGGCCAGATTGGGCCCCCTGGGCTTCTGCACCACCTCAGCAGCCCCTGAGGGTGGGGCTCAGCCCTGAGCTTGGGGTGTAGCCCTCTCCTCCGAGGTCCTCCCGCAGCCTCAGGGGAGGCAGGCCTAGACCCTTCTGCAGTCCTGGGGGTGGGCCCTGGGAGTAGCTGGAACTCAGGCTCAGATATGGCCTCCAGGGTGCGTCCCCTCTTCAGTCTCTGGAGGAGCAGGTGAGGCCTTGGACCCTGCCTGGAGGGTCCTGAGCCCTGCTTCCCATCCCTCCCCTGCAGAGGAAAAACATACACATCAATGATAATGTGCTACACTCGGCCTTCGAGGTGGGCGTGCGCAAGGTGGTCTCCTGCCTGTCCACCTGCATCTTCCCAGACAAGACCACCTACCCCATCGATGAGACCATGGTGAGGGGGGGGCCTGGGCAGGGTGGGGCCTGGCTGGGGGCGGGGCTGAGAAGCAGCAGGTCCTCTGCTCCTCCAGATTCACAATGGGCCGCCGCACAGCAGCAATTTTGGCTACTCTTACGCCAAGAGGATGATCGACGTGCAGAACAGGTCCTCCTCCTGCGCCCCCTGGGTGGAGGCCAGTCAGGGCTGGGGAAGGGGTCCGGGGTGCCCCGTGGAGGGTGGGCCCAGGGAGCAGCCCGGCAGGGCTCCCAGACCTCAGCTGGGGCGGGACTCGGGGTGGGATGGGCCAGTGGCCCCAGGGTGAGGGCCAGAGGGGATGCTGTGCCGCTACAGAGCCTACTTCCAGCAGCATGGCTGCACCTTCACCGCTGTAATCCCCACCAATGTCTTCGGGCCCCACGACAACTTCAGTATCGAGGACGGCCATGTACTGCCCGGCCTCATCCACAAGGTGCACCTGGCCAAGAGTGAGTGCCTGCTGCCCGCGGGGGCCCCTGGGGCGCAGCCCGGGGAGGGGGGATGGCTGATGCTGCCACAGCACCTCTGACACCCGCCCTCCCGACCCACAGGCAGCGGCTCAGCCTTGACGGTGTGGGGCACAGGGAGGCCCCGGAGGCAGTTCATCTACTCACTGGTTGGTGCCGCAGCAGGGCACGGCTGTCCCTCAGAACGTCTCCTGGGGCCGCCATGCTAGCCGTGGGCAGGCGGGAGGGAGCCTGGGAAGGGGTAGGGGTCCACGCTGCCCCCGTCCTCGCTGGGGCCCTGTAGGTTCCTGTCTGTGAGAGAGTCACTGAGGCAGCTCTGAGCTCATCTGGAGGAGGGACTTGGGGCACAGCTGGCCGGCCAGTGCCCAGAGGGAGGGACCTGGGCTGGAGAGGGGACGCGCGCCTGTGGGCTGTCACTGGTCGCCTCTGACCCTGGACGTCTGACTGGCAGGACCTGGCCCGGCTCTTTATCTGGGCCCTGCGGGAGTACGATGAGGTGGAGCCCATCATCCTGTCAGGTGGGCGCCCAGCAGCCCCACCCCCACCCCCACCAGCTGGGTGGGACCCCATCTGTCTCTGGAGCCGCCGAGCAGGGAGGGGACTTCTGGGGGCTGGGCAGTGGGGGCCTGACCCGGCCGTTGGTCCCTGGCTCCCCACAGTGGGTGAGGAGGATGAGGTGTCCATCCAGGAGGCAGCGGAGGCCGTGGTGGAGGCCATGGACTTCCATGGGGAGGTCACTGTATCCTTTGGTCGGAGGCTGGGGTGCTTCGAGCCTCCCTGCAGAAGACTGTGCCCTGATGCCCCCATGGCACTCACCCTGGCGGCCGGGGGGTGGGGGCACTGCTGCTCTGCCCTGGAGGCTCCTTCTGGGAAAGCTGGGCCAGGCTCAAGAGCAGGCGGGGGGGCGGTGGGGCTTCCCCTTGTGCTGAGGCCTTGACCAGGTGCCCAGTTTGATACAACCAAGTCAGATGGGCAGTTTAAGAAGACAGCCAGTAATGCCAAGCTGCGGGCCTACCTGCCCGATTTCCAGTTCACACCCTTCAAGCAGGGTGAGCCTCCCACCCTGTTCCTCAGGGCCTTCCGGCCTCTCCCGGGGGCCACCACTGCCCCTGCCCAGGCCTCAGTTTCCCCACTGTCTGCTGTGGGGGACACTCTGTGGGTTTGGCCTCCATGCCCTCACTGCAGAGGCAGGACTCCCTGGGTTCCCCTCCTCCTCCCTCCTCCCGGGAGGTTAGGACCACCCTGGCCCTCACCTGCCCACCAGGCCCTCACCTGCCCACCGGGCCCTCACCTGCCCACCTCTGCAGCCGTGAAGGAGACCTGTGTCTGGTTCACCGACAACTACGAGCAGGCCCGGAAGTGAGGCCTGCGGCCGAAGCCAGTCCACCACTTCCCCAGGTCCCGGCCAGCAGTGCCCAGTGGCAGCCACTCACAGAACCTGCCAGGAGCTGGGGGCACCGCCTGCCCACCTGATAGTGGCCTCTGCTCCACTCCGTCTGCCGAGGCAGGCCTCAGTGACTGTCTGGTGGGGTCTCCGTCCATGTCAGGGAAGCCAGGCCCAGCACCCTGCTCCCCAACTCCATCCCTGAGTGTCCCCTTCTGATCCCTGGGAGCCAATAAAGAGCATTTTCACAGGCCTGTGTGCCAACCACCCCTGTCCCCACCCGCCAGCCCCCAAGAGCTGCTGGGCCATGGTGACCAACTGCCCCTGGGGCAGAAGGGTGGCAGTGGGCGGAGACACAGAGGAGTGGTGAGTGGGCAGGTGGCAGGAGAGGGTGGGTTGTCAGCTGGTGGGGACAAAGGGCAGGGCACCTGCAGTGGTTCCAGTGTGGCGGCCAGAGCCAGCCTCTCCCCACACGGCCACATATGGGCCTGGGTAACTGCACTCCCCAGGGCTCCCCCGCTTCCTCCCAGGACTTCGGGGAAAGAGGCTGGGTCTGGGTTTGGAAAGGCCAGGCGGGCACAGAGGGATCTGAGGAGATTGTCAGTCTGCTGGTTCAGGCTCCCCTGGGGCCCCAGTAGAGAGGAGCTCGACCTGGCCCTTTCATCTCCCTAGCCCTAATGTGGCAGCTTGGGTGCTGGGGCCCAGCCTGCCCTTCTCCTGTGGACAGTGACAGGTGTCACGCAGGAGTGACCTGGCGGGCAGGGAGGGGAGTGGCACCTTCCTCAACAGGAGGATTTAGACGGGTTGACCTGTTAGCGCCCTGGCCAGTCAGGTAGTGCTGGCTCTGGGGTCCCCCTCTTCACGAGTGTGTGCGCCCACTCAGTCATGACATCTTTTGTTTATCTGGGCAGTGTCGGCTGTCCCCCCTGTGCTGGGCACACAGTCCCGCCCTCTGCGCCCTGTCCAGCTGACCACACACTGCATTTGTCACCACCCCATTCCTCTCCCCGTTAGTGTCAGTGCCTCCCTACCTTCTCAGCTTCTGTCCAGACGGTTATTCCTCTCTGAAGCCCATCCCACCAGCCTGCTTCTCCAGAAATTCCTTCCCTCCCCCACCCCCACGACTCAGAGCTCCAGGACCAGGTCTGCCTTCATGGTGTTATCCCCCCGGGCGCCAGCCATTTGTGAATGAAGGGTCTGCTGGTTAAGGGAGATGGGCAGGGGTGGCACCTGAGTTGGAGCTTGGATCAGCCCAGTGAGAAGGGGGCAGGAGCAGAAAGGCCCGGACGTGCCTGGGAGGACACTAATAGTGGTTGCATGTCCTGAACTGTCCCTTGCAGGATGTGTGTATCATAGAGGGGCAGGTCTGCAGGGTAGGGCTTTGGCTGTCCATTCTGCTGCTGTGAGGCCTTCATTCCCAGCCTCAGAGCAGGGGCTTCTCACTGAAGGGACAGCGTTGAGTGAGTGAGGGACTCTCATTGTTGAAGAACTTCCCAGTTGTTGTGTCTCACTGTTTTTGTGACCCCATGGAGCCCGCGAGGCTCCTCTGTCCACAGGATTTCCCAGGCAAGAATACCAGAGTGGGTTGCCATTTCCTCCTCCAGGGGATCTTGCCAACCCTGGGATTGAACCTGTGTCTCCTGTGTTGCAGGAAGATTCTTTACACTGAGCCACCTGGGAAGCCCGCTGAAGAATTTAGAACGTGCCAAAGTAGAGTTTAAAGAAAATAACAAAATTTTTTAAAATGCAATCTTAAAAGCTGCAATCTAAGCTTATTTTTCCTAAGTCAATAAAAAATTACAAGCACACCCCACACCCACCCTCCCCCTCTCAGTCTCTAAGGTGCTTCCTGTCCCCAGCCACACACTTTCTCCCTTAGAACCAACTAGAGAGGCCAGGTCTCTCCTGGGGAACACCTCAGGAAGGTCTCCCCTGCCTCCCTACATAGCTCCCTGAGAGGCTCTCAGAAACCAAAACCCAGGCTGACCTGAGGAGCTTCTTTAACAGCAAAGCCGCAGACCGCTGCTCCCACGTTTCACTGGCTGCGTCAATTTTATGCTGTCACTCGGACCCACTGCAACTTGGGGGAAAGCTGACCACAAGCCGGGACCAGGCAGCCCTGTCCCCCACACCCGACTGCTCACAGGCTCCAAACAGAACCAGTGCGCGCTGTTTCCACCCAGAAACCGGCCCGAGGCCGGCAGAGTCCCACTCGCTAGCTACTGATAAGCGGAAGTCCGGATTCTGGCTGCCAGGAGTTTCATCAGAATCTGCTCAGCCGCCGCCTCCTGGAAGCTCAGCTGGCCGGTGTCCATCAGTGCTTTCCCATTGGCCCCGCGAGGGACCCCATCCCACAGCAGCCTCCACCCTTTCCGACCCTTCGCTTGTAAATGGACCCTCTCAAGTTGCTACTTGCGAAATCCACACACCAGTGGAGCACCGAGGTACACAACCGGCCAGAGTACCGGACGCTTCGCGCGGCGCCGCGCCTCGTCCCTCGCGGCACTACGCACCGCACGGAAACCCCGGGAGAGGGCGGAGCGTGAGGTCTCCGCAGCCAGTGGACGAGCGCAGGTGAGGCCCCCGCAGCCTATTGGCGTAGCTGAGGGCGGGGGTGGGGCGCGGCGCGGCGGCGTGATGGCGGCGGCGGCGGAATCCGGCGGGAGGCGAGTAGGCTTCGTGGGCGCGGGCCGCATGGCGGAGGCCATCGCGCATGGCCTCATCCAAGCAGGTAGGGCGCCACGGGCGTAGGGCGCGTGGGGACCCCGGGCTTGGGGCCAGCGGGCGTCGGAGACTGGCCTGAGGTGAGAGGGGCGGGCTTACCCTGTCCCGTGCCCGCCTGCCCCGCGGATCCCAGAGCAGCGCGGCGCCCTAGGCGCAGGGGCCCCAGGGTGGAGCTCGCCGTCGGACGTGGGACAGGACGGCTCGCGGACTCTGCCTTTCCGGACTCTGTTTCCTCTGGGAGCTCGGCTGGAGGGGATGTGGTGGAGAGGGTCAGAGCCAGCCGTCCACACGGTAACCGTAAGGCGGTCGGAATTGGGATGCGCTGTGAGTGCATCAGTTCAGTCGCGTCCAACTCTTTGCTACCCCATGGACCAGAGCACGCCAGGCTTCCCTGCCCATCACCAACTCCCGGAGCTTGCTCAAACTCATGTCCATCGAGTCGGTGATGCCATCCAACCATCTCATCCTCTGTCGTCCCCTTCTCCCACCTTCAATCTTTCCCAGCGTCAGGGTCTTTTCCAATGAGTCAGTCCTTTGCATCAAGTGGCCAAATTATTGGAGTTTCAGCTTCAGCATCAGTCCTTCCAATGAATATTCTGGTTTCCTTTAGGATGGACTGGTTTGATCTCCTTGCAGTTCAAGGGACTCTCAAGAGGCTTCTCCAACACCAGAGTTCAAAAGCATCGATTTTTGGACGCTCAGCTTTCTTTATAGTCCAACTCTCACATTCATACATGACTACTGGAAAAACCATAGTTTTTACTAGATCGACCTTTGTTGGCAAAGTAATGTCTGTGCTTTTTAATATGCTGTCTAGGTTGGTCATAGCTTTTCTTTCAAGGAGCAAGTGTCTTTTAATTTCATGGCTGCAGTCACCATCTGCAGTGATTTTGGAGCCCACGAAAATAAAGTCTGTCACAGTTTCCCCTGTTTCTCCACCTATTTGCCATGATGTAATGGGGCCAGATGCCATAATCTTAGTTTCTGAATATTGAGTTTTAAGCCAAGTTTTTCACTCTCTTCTTTCACTTTCATCAAGAGACTTTTTAGTTCTTTGCTTTTTGCCCTAAAGGTGGTGTCATATGCATATCTGAGGTTATTAATATTCCTCCCAGTAATCTTGATTCCAGCTTGTGCTTCATCTACCTGGCATTTCACATGACATACTCTGCATATAATTTAAATAAGCAGGGTGACAATATACAGCCTTGACGTTCTCCTTTCCTGATTTGGAACCAGTCTGTTGTTCCATGTCCAGTTCTAACTGTTGCTTCTTCACCTGCATACAGATTTCTCAGGAGGCAAGTCAGGTGCTCTGGTATTCCATTGTGAGTGCATAAAATAACATATATGCTGAGTTTGGAAGATTCAGCACACAAACAAAAAGTAATGTATCTTAGTAATTTTTAATGTTGATTAGCTGTTGGAAGGATAACATTTTAGCTACCTTAGTTTAAATAAAATGTATTATAATTAAACTTGTTTTTTCCTGATTGTTTAATATGACTACTAGAAGTTGCAACGTGACATGTATGGGTTGAGCGATGTTTCTCTTGGACAGTCCTAGCTTAGAGTGAGATCTCGTGAGTTGCCTGACCGCTCTGAGCCTATGTCTCTTCTTTTGATTTGTTTGCCAGCAGCACTCCTAGTATCCGGCACTGCACATCTGGAGCCAGATCATCCTCCATCCTTCATGTTGTAGGGTGTTTAGCTCCCTTCCGTGGCTTCTCCCCACGAGGGGTCAGTAACATCCTCAGTTGTGAGAGCCAAAAATGTCTCCAAACCCTGCCATTGTTGGGGGCAGGCAAAATCATTGGTTGAGAAGATCATGGCATCCGGTCCCATCACTTCATGGCAAAAAGATGGGGAAACAATGGAAACAGTGACAGACTTTATTTTCTTGGGCTCCAAAATCACTGCAGATGGTGATTGCAGCCATGAAATTAAAAGATGGATTGAAGGCAGGAGGAGAAGGGGACGACAGAGGATGAGATGGTTGGATGGCATCACTGACTCGATGGACATGAGTTTGAGCAAGCTCCGGGAGTTGGTGATGGACAGGGAAGCCTGGCATGCTGCAGTCCATGGGGTTGCAAAGAATCCGACGCGACTGAGCGACTGAACTACAGCAGGAATGGTGGTGGTGTCCTGATCGTGCTCCACAGTATTTAGGATCTTTTTGTGGTGATTATGGACTAGCTTTTTGCCTTTAGCTGTATGTCAAGGTCTAGAGAGATGAAAATCATCAGAAAGCAGGTTATTGCAAGCCTCAGGTGTTTACTTGTAAAACTTGGAGTGTTACCTGCTACCCCCAGCTACATGGAGTTCATGTTGACACAGTGCAGGCAACACATAGTGGCTGCCACCATCTGTCCAGGTTGTGGGGTGCATTTCTGCCTTCTTGTTAGACCTTGTAGAAATCTGATCTGTAGAGGATTCTGCCAAACAGGCATTCTCTGCTTGGATGTGCCAGCACAGACACACCCATAGACACACCCTCTTCCTAGGGTTCACCCTCATCCCTCACCCTCCCTTCCCGGGCCTCCGTACCCACCATGCCCCCTCCCCAGCCTTCCTATTCCTAGTAGCAGCAGTCCCTGGGATCCATGTCCTCACAAGACAAGGCGAACTCCTGGTCCCTGTGTCCAGCATCGTGTCTGGACTCGGCAGCAGGTAGGCAGCCGTGACTGCTGGGTAGAATCAAGTGAGACTGGTGGTCTGGTCTGGTCCCGGCCTCGTGGAACTGCCCTGCTGAGCTCCTGGCTTCTTGGAGAGGCTCAGGATAGCCCAGGTGTGGCTGAGCCTCAGAGACTTGCAGACCCGGCAGGCTCGCTCCACCGCACCGCCTTCCTCACTGACACCCCCGCTCTTCTTTGTTTTTCCCTCCAGGAAAAGTGGAACCTGAGCACGTGCTGGCCAGCGCACCCTCCGACAGGAACCTCTGCCGTTTCCAGGTGAGCCGGGCAGCTCCCAGGTGGCTCTTGGCTCCTGTCCCTCAGACACTCCTTGGGGCCAGGGAAGTGCTGCTTACTTGGCTAAAGTTTTGAAATGGCCTGGGCTGGGGAAGGGGAGGTCAAAGGCCAGAAGGAACATCAGGGTCGTGGAGGGCCAGGGCGGGGTAAAGGGGCGTGCATGCTGGGTGGGCAGGAACGTCATGGGCACTCACCGGCTCAGACGGCTTGAGGCTGTGCTGCCGTCAGGGCCCACCTGAGGTCAGGTCCTGAGCAGGGACGGGTGGTCTGGCCACTGGGAGTAGAGCCATCCGCAGTGGGGGCTGGCAAGGGGGCTGCGATCTGGAGGACGCCTGCTGACAGACCTGGCCCTGGCGTCCCTGCTGCAGGCCATGGGCTGCCAGACCACCCACTCCAACCTGGAGGTGCTGCACAGCTGCCCCCTCGTCTTCTTCGCCACCAAGCCCCACATTCTGCCCGCCGTGCTGGTGGAGGTGGCTCCTGCTGTCACTGCAGAGCACATCTTGGTGTCCGTGGCCGCTGGGGTGTCCCTGAGCACCCTGGAGGAGGTGAGTGGCCCTTGAGGGTGCGGTGGGGCTGAGACGCTGACCCCAGGCTGGGCTCTGCTGACCAGACTCGACTTCCCATCCCGGCCATCCCAGACCGGCTGCAGCTGGGGCCTGGCCCTTCCAGAAGCCAGCATGGGTGGGTTGAGGAGCAGAGTTTTCCGCCGGCTGGCACAGGCCTCACTGACCACAGCCTCTCTCTGGCAGCTGCTGCCCCCGAAGGCTCGGGTGCTCAGGGTCTCACCCAACCTGCCCTGCATCGTCCAGGAGGGTGCCATGGTGATGGCACGGGGCCGCCATGCTGGGAGCTATGAGGCCCAGCTCCTGCAGTCCCTGCTGGAGGCCTGCGGGCAGTGCGAGGAGGTGCCCGAGGCCCAGGTGGACATCCACACCGGCCTCAGCGGCAGCGGCGTAGCCTTTGTGAGTGTGGTGGGCAGCCCTCCCTCTGCAAAGTGGGACCTTCCCAAGCCCCTGCAACAGCCCCTGCCCCCAGGGATCCGCGCTTGGTCCTCAGCTGCCCGTGTGTGCCCACCCGTCAGTGCCTTCCTGGGCCTTTGAGACCGGCCCCTTGGCAGACCTCTGGGCTCCAGCCTTGGCTCTGGTGGCTGGTGCCCTGGGCCTTGTTCTGAAGGTTCCCAGCCTTCTCCAGGCTGGGTGCTGAGTCCCAGGGAGGGCTAGCTTTGACTCCCACCCCCTCCCCACTGCTACAGGTGTGTGCCTTCTCTGAGGCCTTGGCTGAAGGTGCTGTCAAAATGGGCATGCCCAGTGGCCTGGCCCACCGCATCGCTGCCCAGACCCTGCTGGTGAGACCCTGCTGCACGGCCCGGGGAGTGTGTAGAAGGGGAAGGTCAGCATGGGGAGGCGGCCAGCTGGCCTGAGTTGAGACAGGGTGCTGGGGGGATGAGCTGCAGACAGGCTGCCAGCACCATCCCCCCGCCAAGTCACCCCAACACCTCTCTCCAGGGAACAGCCAAGGTGCTTCTGCAGAAGGGGCAGCACCCGGCTCAGCTGCGGACTGACGTGTGCACGCCAGGCGGCACCACCATCTACGGGCTCCATGCGCTGGAGCAGGGTGGGCTGCGGGCCGCAGCCATGAGCGCCGTGGAGGCCGCCACCTGTCGGGCCAGGGAGCTCAGCAGGAAGTAGGTGTGGGCCACGCCTCTACCCTGTGGTGGCTTGGGTCCCCTCTGTCCTGCAGGGAGGAGGGGCCCTGGCCCGCAGGGAACACAGCAGGGTGTGGCCCCTCCCCGGACCCTAAGCTCCTGGCAAGGGCAGGGAGAGCTGGCCCTGATGACCCTTCCCTGGGTCAGGAGCCCCGGAGGGTCCTGTGGCCTGGCCTCTGACTACCAGATTTGGTTCTCAACATGTCCGTGAAGGGACCAACAGGCCTGGAAAGCCAGAAACGTGGGACCTTTGTTGGGGGACTGCCCCATCCCTTGCAGGCCCAAGTGCTGGAGCCCCTTCCCGCCACCTGCCAGGCGTCTGTGAACAGGGCTGATGCACCCGCCGGCCAACCCCACTCTGCTGCTCGGCCTCGAGCCCTCCCCGAGTTCCAGCCACCAGTGTCCCGCTGGCCCTCAGCCAGGGACTGCTTGTCTGACCCCGGCCCTTCTACTAGTTAGAATGGTCAGCCTGAGTCCATTTCTTCACCTATTTTTTTTTTTTTAACCTTTAAAATGGAAATAAAGATGCTGTACTATAGCATGGAGCGATCCATGTTTCACTGGAGGTGGATAAAACCAAATCCCAGGGCCTGGAGTCCCATCAGCAAGGCCCTGGGCTCAGACTCGGGTGGGTGGTGCAGACGGGGCTCCCCTCTATCTCCCATCACCCCCCCTCAGCAACGCGTTGGCCACCAAAGTCCCTGGGCCCAAGCTGGGCCCTGCCCTGAGGTGGCCAGTCTGCGTGAGGCACCTGTGGGCCCACTGCTGTCCCTCCCTGCTTCTCAGATGGCGTTCTGGAACTGCGCACTGGATGCAGTTACAAAAGTAAGACTGGGACAGAGCTTGTGTGAAGTGGGCATGTTCAGCCTTTATTATAAAGTGAGGCTGCCTGTGAAAGGGCCCCTTGACAGAGTAAGCACCTCAGAGCCCCCTCCAGCCCCCCCTGCCCCCGAGATCCTGACATGCTCTCGGGCCCACAGGCTCAGGGCCAACCCCCGCACTGGCAAGGCCCCTTCCTCACCGCAGGCTCCAGGGCTCCATCCGTGGTCCGCTGTCACCTGGGGGCTTGTTCCCCAGTGTGTGGTCCCTCGGGCAAGGCTGGCCTGACACGGTGGGTTCACTCTCCCGACCCCCCTGGTGGGCTGGTATCAGCAGAAGTCATGGGTGGCACTTTCTGCCCGCTGCTGATTCTGCCAGGTCAGCCCTGAGGTCCTGCCTGGGGGCTGCTGGCTTGAAATTCGTGACCCTCGCTGCCTTAAGGTGAACAGGAGCGGAGAGCCTGGCGGCTGAGATGCCTCGGGCCCAGCAGTAACCACAGCAAGGCACTTCAGCTGTTCTCCCCACGGTTCACAGAGCTGAGCTCCAGGAGCTGGGCCTGCACTCTAGGGAGGAGGACTTCAGGGGCCCTCGCGTGAGGTGTCCTCAGCCCCACCCTTGACCAGGCCCTGGCTCTTCAAGGCCCAGACCAGCCTGCGCTGTGCCTCATTCTTGCACTGCCATCTGGCACTGGCCAGAGCTGCCTTCTGGGGTGCAGCCTCAGTGCCCCAGAGGGGGTGAGGCAGGAGGCTCTGTCCCAACACCCAGTTCCCAACATCAACCGCAGCCCCCTTGCCCAGACCCTGGGGACAGAGGACCAAAGGTGAGACCGGGAACCTGGCGAGAGGAGTGGCACCGAGGATACCACCAGAGACTACTCTGGCCCGGCGCCCACCCGGGCTCCGAGTCCACTCCCTCGCAGGGCCCTGCAGGACAGAGGCCCCGCAGGCAGGCTATGGTGAACAGGCGCTCTCGCCCGGGCCCCTGACGGTATGACATGCAAGACATCCTGAGGCCAGAGGCGCGGGCCGGGTGCAGGCCTGCCGCAGCTGCTAGTGGAGTGAGGGCAGCAGGTGAGGTGGAGGCTTTAGCCGGGGCTGGTGGCCATGCCTCCCTTCTCTCCTGGAATCCTCTGCACCATCCATCAGCTTTCAGATCGGACATATACACGTACATGTGTGGGTGTTTTGACTAGAGGTGGTTCCAAGGAAGAGCTGACATCTTTGCTCCGGGGGCACCCCCGTGGCCCTGCCACCATGCATGGCCCTTCCCTCCCAGAAACACATCACCTGGGTGTGGCCTCCACAGCCCAGGAGCACCAGGAGGCGGGGGCAGGTGAAGAGGAGGGCAGAGCACCGAGGCAGGCAGCAGCACCTCAAATCCAGCCCTCCTCAGGGCTCTGGGCGTCTCTGCCGGGCAGCCCCTGGGAGACCTGGGTGTCTCAGCCTCAGGCCCCCAGCAGGGTCCTGAATCTAGAGCTGAGTGGAGCAGCAAAACAGTGTGGGAGCTGGAGGGTCACACGGAGCCCTCGCCGCCTCCTTTCAAGCCGTGCCACCCAGAAGCCTAATTCATGGCCTGTGGGAAACGGCTCCTCAGCTACGCCCCTGGCAGTGCCGGGAGCCGGGCAGCCTTGGAGGGGAGCTAAGGCACTGAGGGTTGTCCTGGCATGGCTGGCGGTGCCACAGGGGTGCTCCGAGAAGACAGCATGGCTCCGGGCCCTGAGGCTGCTGGGGTGCGGGGCAGGGGCCCAGGTCTAGTGCTCCTCAACCCTACAGAATGAAAGCTGTTTAGCATGGCATTTCCTTAGAGACAACACAAGAACCTTGGCTGCACCCAGAAACTCAAAGCCCCATCCTTCTTTCCCAGCCCCCCGAGCATCTGCCCAGGGTCTGAAGAGTACCTGGAAAAAACAGAGTTAATGCGCCAAACCAGAGACCAGTGGTGTGCTTCCCGCTGGGACGACCACAGAGCTGTGATCCATGGGGACAGGACGCCGGGCCCTTGTCCAGGGCAAGTGCTGGGCCACAGGGGCTGGGGGGACAGGAACGTGGCTGGGGCAGCCCCACAGGGGCCAGAGAGAACACGGCTACCTGCTCTCTGCTAAGCGCTGTGGCGTATGCCAGGTCCGCATGGGAGGGCGCCTGGCCGAGCCACGTGTGGGCCTGCCCGGGGAGGAGGGGCGGCCATGGCCTCTCTTCCAGCTAACCCAGCACCAGATGGGGTGCCAGTGGAGGGGCCGGCCCTTCACCAACGGGGCTCTCTCGGGCCAGGCCGGGATCCCTGTCAACCCCTGAGCCTTGGGGGTGGGCCGCTCCAGGGAAGGCAAGGCAAGACGGGATCTCTGTCTGTCCCCCCTCCACGTGCCTCAGGAGAAAGGCCACTGGGGGCTGCCGGGGCGGGCTTGGTCACAGCCCGTCGTCGGGAACTGTGGATGAGGGCCCGATGCCCCCCAGCCTCCGGGCCGTGCTGATGAGTAAGCGCAGCTGCACCAGCTTCTGCGGCCCCACCTCCCGGGGGTCCTGGGTCTCCAGCCACCGCAACGCTGTCTCCAGACCCCGAACGGCCTCCCCAGCGGTGGGGACGGCCTCCTCCTCTGCTCCTCCTGCCACCGCTGAGGGTAGGCTGGCGGGGAGCAGGGGGCCCCTGGGGACCAGCACGGGAGGCCGGCTGGGGCCCCAGTCCTCTCTGCCACTGTCGGGCAGCCCCCCATCATCGTCCAGGTGCAGCCACTCGGCCACCTCCTCAGGAGCCAGGCGTTTGTAAGCCAGGGCTGCCAGGTGCGTGAGGTCGCTGAGCACCCTGCTGCGCTCCGCGGCCTCCTCGGCCTGGCCAGCAGGCTGCCCAGCGCGCTCCTCCACCGGCCGGGGCTCGAAGGCAGCCCGCAAGCCCAGCAGCCAGCAGCGCTCAATGCTACCCGCCTGCACCAGGTCCCAGGAGAGGCCGGCCAGGTAGAGCATGTCCTTGAGCATGAAGCTGCGCATGAAGTCCAGCGGGGATCCCCCGGCGCAGGACACGGCCAGCCGCAGCAGCTCCCGCTTGTACAGCTGCTTAAACGCGACCACCACCCCCTGTTCTAGGGGGGCGGGTATGTGCACCCGGCCGCTGCCCCTGCACAGGAACAGCACCCGCACGGCCCCGTCGGGGGTCTGCAGCTCCTCCGGGGGACCGATGGGCTCGGGCCGGTACTTCCTGCGGGTCTCCTCGCTCTCCTCCAGGGCGGGCATCCTGGCCCCAGAGCTGGGGCAGGGAGGGTGGGCCACCAGCAGCACGGCCTTCTGCTGCAGGCAGCTGCGGCGCAGGTAGCGCCTGACACCCGGGACGAACTCCTCGAAGAACCAGCCGCGCAGCAGCGGACGGCTGAGCCAGGCGTCGGGGCTGTAGCGGTAGGAGGCGGGGAACTTGTCCTGGTTGTGGTGGCGCAGGCTTGGTGGGTCTGGCAGCTGCCCGATGACCAGCGGCTTCAGTTTGTGGCTGCCGGTCAGGTTAGCGGCCAGCAGGACCGTCACCCGGTCGCCCCGCCAGCGGTGGCCACAGCCCCCCGCGCCCACAGGCGCAGCCTGCTCCGGGAGCAGCTTCCAGTAGAGGCCCGTGACGTTGGCGTTGTAGATCTGCTCGTCGCCGTAGCCGCCCTCGGCGGGGGCCAGGGTACTAGCGGCGAGGTCGGGCAGGGGCCCGGCGCGGGTGGGCTGCGCGGGCTCCTGCTTGACGGGCGGGCCAGGCTCGGGGCCGGCGGCCGCAGGATCGGCCTCGCCGTAGATACGCTGGCTGGAGATGCCGTGGCGCTTCTGCCAGCGCCAGAACCAGCCGTGGCTGGCCTTGAAGGTGCATTCGGGCCCGTAGATCTGGCGCGCGAAGGCCTCGGCCTGCGCCTGGATGAGTGGCCCCGACAGCGGCACGCCGTGCTGGCGCAGCGCCAGGAACCACGAGTAGACGGCGCGGTCGATCTCCTCCTCGTTGGCCAGCCGCATCTTCTTGCGCTGCGTGCCCACCTCGCCACCCAGCTGCTCCAGGAACCAGCGCAGCTTGGGTTCGTCCTTAAGCCAGCCGCGCAGCGTGCCGCCAGGCACGCCGAAGTCGCGGCACACGCTGGCCTGCCGCTCGCCGCCCTTGACGCGCTCGATGGCTTGCAGCTTATCTTTGATAGAGTAGGCCTTGCGGAAGGCCATCTTCACGGCGACGCGGGGCCGCGGCCCGGGCGCGGGGAGAGCTGCGGCGGAGGGGGACGGCCGGGGCCGGCGCCGTGTCCAGTGGTTTGTTCCAGCTCCTCTCGGAAAGATCGAGCTTCACGGGTGTCTCCCACTGACTTCTCTCCTCGCTCCCGCGGGGAGCGTCGCACGGAGGGCCCGGGCCGCGCCGTAGGGCGTGCGCGCGGGCTGCGTCCCCCGCTCTCCGGCTTGTGGTAGAGCCCGCCGCTTCACTTCCCGTGCGCGAACCGCGTGGCCCTCCCTTTCCTCTGCCGTCGCGCGCCGCCGAACCCTGCTCGTTGGTCGCCGCGTCCTTGGCTGGCGTGTGAGTACCGCGGCTCGCGCCGCCAGGCCCCCGGGCCCAGGGGAGAAGCGGCCCGCGCTGCGCAGGCGGGGGCCGGGCTGCAGTGCCGCGGAGTCCGCGGCGCGGGGCCTACTGCAGGCTGGTGGCCGCCCGGAGGGGCGGGGCGCGCGGGCCATGTGCCCGCTGGACCTGTGCGGCGGCGGGCATACCGGGGCCGCTCTGCCCCCCGCCTCGGTGGGTGACATGGATCTTTGCCCAGCCGTGGCCCGGGCCTGTAGCTTCCCGTTTGTACGCGTTTGTTGAGCAGTTAATTGCTGCACGCCGGCTCTGGGCCTAAAGTCCAGGCACGGGCCCAACCTCTGTCAACTGTCTCAGAACCTGGACAGTTCACGGACGCGGGGAAGAGTAAGGACGTGATTGCTGGGTGACTCAAACACCGCCTTCTTTGAGAGTGGTGGTGGAGGAGCTAGGTTTGGACAAGGTGGTCCGGGCTGTTGGGCAGTGTCGCTGGAACGAAGGGAGAGGCTTGTGCTGGAGCCAAGTAGGATGGGGACCCGATGGAGGCGTCCTCAGGTTTGCAGAGCGAGGTGCCGCGGAGAGCAAGAAAGCCGTTTGTGTGGGTGTTCCTTGTCTGTCAGGAGGGCAAGTTGACCCTGGCGGACCTGGGGCAGGGTAGGCCCCAGGTCGTGTCTCAGAAGCAGTTCTGACACTCCCAGCTCCTCTGAGAAGCCTCAGCCGGTAAGTGGGCTGAGCTCACGGTGACTGCGTCCTTCCCGAGACCACCCTCTCCACCAGCTCCAGACACGGGTGTCCGCTGAGAAGGGGTGGCAGACAGACTCCAAGGAGCAGGTGCTCTGGGCCAGCTCTGCGGGGCGGTCAGTCCTGGGCCAGGGCCGGGGGTGACCTCCAGCTCCTCATCTTGGAGCGCGGCCTCTGTGGGCTTCACAGGAGCCTGGGTGGGTGGCACGGTCCCCTGGTAGAGCCCCTTGCAGGGCCTGTGCTGGGTCTCTGTCCTGGGGAGCTGGGTGAGGCCGCAGAGCTCAGCACAGCTTATCTCCAGTGTTTGTGCCCTGGTGTCAGGTTTCCAGGGGCTGCAGGCAAGAAGTGCTGGCGTGAGCTCTGGCCCTGTGCCCGTTTTAAGATGATATGTGTGATTTCAACGTGGACAGCATTGTGACATTTGTGTGAAGGACTGGTGTCAAAGTGAGACGTGGAGTCCCAGCCCCTCACCTACTGGCCCAGGACATGTCTCCCCTCCTCCAGTTGTGTGAGGGGTCACGGGTTCTGGGTGCATGCTGCTGGAGCCGCCCCGGGGGAGGGGTGCAGGATCCGGCGGCTAGGGTGGATTGATGGGGCACCAGAGACGGGACAGAAATAGCGCCATGGCTGTGGCATTGCAGTGTGGATGGGGCGCTGGCCGGGGTGGGGTGCCATGGGCAGACACAGCGTAGGGCCTGAGTCTTGGGGTGCAGGCGCCCCCCCTTCCTGCCTGCGAGGCAGGTTGGCATTTCTGAGTGGGAGTGAACTGTCCAGGAGTCGGGTGGGAAAGCATCTGAGGAGGGACATGGGGCTGTGGCGGTCACCCCTAGGGGAAGGGCAGGGGGCATCATGGCCCTGCACTTGCCCCGGGGCATAGCTGCCCTCACCCGCCCTCCTGGACCCTGTACGCACGGGGTGCTCTGTCCGGCAACTCTCGGTCAGGTCACGCCAGCTGAGGGCCCTGTCTGCACACACCTCACCCCGATTCCCTCTTCTGTGGAAGGTGGGCATAGCGCTTTGACCCCCAGGTAGATCACCTGGGAGCCTCTCTGTGTGGCAGTGATGGGGCCGCGTGAGCCCTAGGTTACCCGGAAACCTCCGTTCACCCAGGGACTTGTGGGCCCCCCACCGTGGTGTCCTTCGGGACCCTGAGGCCAGAGTATTCTGGGCGGGGCTGCTGCCCGGTCCCTCTGTCACTGAAGGAACGCCCTCCAGCTGCGCGGAGCCCCAGCCTGGGTCCCGCTTTAGAGACGGTCGCTGGGCAGAGCCAGTGTACTCCCCAGGCCTGGGCTGGGAGGCAGGGGTGAGCTTCTTCACTGCCTTCACCCTGGGGCCTGGCAGCCCTTGCGGCCCCTCTCGTGCAAGAGGTCTCAACTGGCCTCAGTGGTCAGCAGCCTGCCCTTGGCCCTGCAGGCGAGCCAGCGGTCTGGCTGTCCTGAGATTCCCTGGCACCCCGCCCTCCAGCATCCTGTCCCGACACCGGCTTCACCAGCCGGCCTGCACTGTGTGGTCAGCCTCGCTGGGATGGCTGTCCTGCACAGTCCTCCTCCTCCCAGAGCCTTGCTGCACGCCCCCTGAGGTTCCTGGTGCGCCCTGTGTACCGCTGACCTGATGCTGGCACTCTAGTGCTGGCCACAGCGTGGCATGAACTGGGGGGCAGGGCTGGCCGGGTTCTTGGCTCCTGGGATGCCGCCCCTTGTGAATTCAGGGCCAGGCGCCCCATCTGTCCTTTTGTCCCTGAGAGGCCTGTGGGGACAGTGGCACCCTGCCCATCTGGGCTTTTGCCCCTGCCCCAACAGTGGCCCTGAGGGAGAGGCCCTGTCCAGCATGGGCACTGGGCCTGGGTGCCCATGTGGAATCCTTGTCACCTTGCGCTCGGTCCAGAGGCCTGGACCCTGTGGAGTGGGGGATCCCCACCCTGCTCCCCGTGGACAGTGGGGTGCTGGAGGTGCTGGCTCACTCCCAGGTGGGCTCAGGGCGGAGCCCAGCTGGGGCCTTGGTGCTGCAGGGGCTCCGGCCCACTTTGAGTGACAGTGGAGCGGCACTGCCTCAAGCGTGGACTTGGCCACCCCCTGGGACTTGGGCGGGTTGGAGGCGGGAGGAGAAGGGGACGACAGAGGATGAGTAGGCTGGATGGCATAACCGACTCAATGGACATGAGTTTGGGTAAACTCCGAGACTTGGTGATGGACAGGGAGGCCTGGCGCGCTGTAGTCCATGAGGTCGCAAAGAGTCGGACACGACTGAGCGACTGAACTGAACGGGGATTTGGGGGTGAGCTCTGGCTGTCTTTCTCCTCCACCAAACTTGCCTCCACACCGCCTCACCAAGCAGCTTCAGCAAAGGCCCCCAGCCTGCTCGGGCCGCCCTGTCAGACCGCCTCTAACCTTGCTGCTTTCTCTTCATGCTGTCCTAGGAGACCAAAGGGAAAGTAAGTACCCTCCTGCCCCAGGCGCCTGGGCACCACAGCCCAGCCCCTGTGCCTGCTGCATCCTGACACCTCCGGGGCGCCTGACCTCATCTGAAGTGGAAGCTGGGCCTGGGGGGTAGCCTCTGCTCTGTCCCGGGCCGAGTCAGCCCCAGCCCCGGCAGTGGGCAGTACCCCTGAGCAGGGATCAGCCTGCGTTCCTCCACCTGTGGGAGGGCAGGGCGCCACCACCGCCCCGGCCAGCCCTGCTCTCAGGCATGTTCAGAAACGGCCCCCTTGCCCGGAGCAGTGGCTCAGAGGGCTCCGAGCGGAGCCTGGTCTGGTGCGAGGAGCCACGTGTCTAGGCTGCTAGGTTCAGGCAGAGCTTCAGCCTGGTGGGCAAGGCTGCTGTGTGAGGGTCTCTGGGCGTGGGCAGAGGGCAGACAGGCCCAGCCTGGTAGGCCCGCAGCCCCCGGGGACAGAGGGTGATGTCACAATGTCCCTGCCCCCTGGGCACCCGGCCCTGCCCCCCATCACTGCCTCTGCCATCAGCCTGGCCTCAGTAAGTGCTGCTGCCGCCCAGCGGGAGGCCCAAGGGGGCGGCCAGGGACCCCTCTAAGCCTGAGGCCCCTGCCCCTCAGAATACAGGGGTCTCTGTGAGGCCCTGGGCAGATCGGGATTTAGCCTGTGCATCACGGGGTAACTGGAGTCGGGTTTTGGTTGGGGGACTGTAGACCCTGGAGGGAAGGGGGGGTAGGGTGTGCCATCAGTCTGCCTCCCCCTGGGGCCTCCCCCTGGGTGAGGGCTCCACAGACCTCACAGCGGCAGCAGGGGACACGGGACGTCCTAGGGGGCAGCTGCCCAGCCCCTGGGCCAGTTGGCCTGGCGCCTCTGCTTCCAGCACAGGGTTCAGAGTAGGGTCTGAGGGGCATGGAGACCTTGGCCAGTCCAGCCCCACTCTAGAACTGGCCGGTCTTGTGTGGGCTTGGGGCCCCTGGTGCATCCCAAGAGCAGGCTGGCTTCCTGGGCGGGGCTGCTTCTGGCAGTGGGGGGTGCTTTAGCATTCTGGGCTGCCTGGGTGGGGTCTAGTCTTTGTGGAACCTGATGCCCCAGAGCAGAACGGGGGACCCCATGCCAGCAGCAGGATCGGGGTGTAGCAGAAGCTTGTCCAGGGGCCATGGCGGGAGGTGCCGAGCCCCGTGGTCACCTCCCAGTGTTCCGGTGATGGAGCCCCTTAACCAAAAGGTGCTAAAATGCGGGGACAGGACTCAGGTTCCTGTGTGGCCCCTTGAGGTGCACCCATGGTAGGGGCTGATTGCCTCCTGCTCTGGAGACGGGGTGGTCAGGTTCTGCCTGGGCCACTGGGTACCTTCCCTTTTAGATAGTGATTCCCTGCTCTGTCCCCGGATTTGGCCTCCATGGGGGTGGGCTCTCACCATCTGCTCCTGGCTGCCCCTTGTCCCTGACCCTCCAGTTCCCTCTTGGAACAGGCCCTGCTTAGGATGGCACTGTGGCCATGCAGGTGGGAGACTCAGGTCAGGCGGGGTGTGCTGTGCGGGGCCGTCCTCTTGAGACCGCCAAGTCATTTCCGTAGAACAGAAGCCCTGGTGCCTCGGGGGTTGGCCAGGCCTAGTGAAAGCACAGGACATCCAGTTAAAATTTCAGATGAACAGTAAACTCACTTTTCCCAGTTGAGACTGGGAGTCTCAACTGTTTCATGGGACAAACTTATTTTCAAGATCATTTGCTGTCAACGTCAAAGTCAGATTAGTTGAATGTGTCCTGTGTTTTACCTGGTGGCCATTCTTGGGGTTCACAGGAAAGGTTTCTGTAACCCAAGAGGTTTGGAAAGTGTTCTCTGGACCTCTTGGAGAGAGCCTGGGTACTTGTTGGATGAGATATGTTTTGCAGTTAAGATGATACACACGCACAGGTGCCCCCCCCCCAGCCCTGCACACGCGTGTTGACTGCCTCCCGAGCTCCCTGTGCATGCTGACCCAGGGCACCCCATTCGGGAGGCCGAGCGGGGAGGGCCGACTGGGAGGGGCCGTGTTGCAACTGCCCTCTTGTGCTTGCTTTTTAACGCTGCACGCAAGATGAGGAGCGGGAAGGCCGCCTGGGCCCTGGAGACCGTCTGGGAGGACAAGCAGAAGTATGGGGAAGCTGAGCGGAGGTTCTACGAGCACGAGGCCGCGAGAGCCGCCGCCCAGCAGCTCCTGGCCGAGACGCTGGCCATGAATGGGCCAGGTCAGGAGGACGAGGCGGACAGCGGCGGCAGGAGCGAGCCCGGGAAGAACCTCGATGGAAAGAAGCCACTGCAGAAAAAGAGGAAGCGCTCCCCGAAGGGCTGGCTCTGCCAGGCGGACCTGGCCCTTGTGGGCCTCTCGGCCGACCACGTCTGGCTGGACAAGCCGCTCTTTGACCAGGCGGAGAGCTCATACCGCCAGAGGCTGGCCGATGTGGCCGCCCAGGCAGCCCAGCGTCCCACCCTGGCCCCCGGGGACCCCTGCACCCACGGGAGCCAGGTGGCTTGCCACCACGTGACCTGGGGCGTCTGGGTCAACAAGTCGTCCTTCGACCAGGCTGAGCGGGCATTTGTGGAGTGGTCTCAGGCCCTGCTGCTGGCCGCAGAGGGGAGCGGTCCTCAGGGGGCTCCCGACACAGGCCAGCGGGTGGCTGCCCTCGACCGGCGCCTTCTCCACCAGTCTGGTCCACCGGCCAACGGCCAGCCACCGCTGGGCAGCCTGCAGGCGCTGGTGCGAGAGGTGTGGCTGGAGAAACCCCGCTATGATGCAGCTGAGAGGGGCTTCTATGAGGCCCTGTTTGACGGCCATCCACCTGGGAAGGTGCGCCTGCAGGAGCGAGCCGGCCAGGCAGAGGGTGCCCGGCGGGGCCGCAGAGACCGGCGGGGCCGCAACGCCGTGGGAAGCAAGCGGCTTGGGCCGCGACGGGCCGACGGGGAGACCGCCTGTGCCCTGCCCTACTGGTACTTCCTGCACAAGGACGCCGAGGCCCCCTGGCTCAGCAAGCCCACCTACGACAGCGCGGAGTGCCGCCACCACGCGGCTGAGGCCCTGCGCATGGCCTGGCGCCTCGAAGCTGCGTCCCTGGCTCATCGACCCAGTGCCCGGCCAGGCCCGTCCGTGTCCAGCCTGAGACCCAAGTAGGAGAAGCGTGCCTGCTGGGTGCCTGGGCTTCCCAGGCCAGCATGCGCCCCTCCCTGCTCCCACCCTGGCAGGGCTCGTCCCAAGACTGCCGGCCACCCGAGTGGGCTACCCCAGCAGCTCTCCAGGGATAGGGCTCTGCCCCGGGCACTGCTGCCTCCGGGCTCCACCTGAGCCTGCATCCTGATCACTCCCATGGGGCTGGAGTGGGCCCAAATATGGTCTGTGTGGAGTTTCCCCTCTGGCCGGGCAGCTTGCAAAGTCCCCCCTGACAGTCACGGGTGGGGGCTGGGGTATGCGATGGCGGGTCCTGGTCTCTGAGCCCCACTGGGCCCGGCACCCCACCCCTTCTGCCGTCTCCCCTCCGCCCTCATCTGAAGCCACCTGAGATGAGGTGGGTGTCTCCGGTGCTCTACCTGAGTCTGAAAGACACCCACTGGACCAGGCTAGCTTGCCTCCTGCCTGTGGGCCCGGGGGTCTGGCCCCAGAGTGATCGTGTGCAGTGCCAGCTGATCTCTGGGGGCCAGGGCCTATCTGAGGAAGGGGTCTGCTAGCCTGCGGGGCTCAGGCAGGTGGGCAGAGACGGGTGGACCACAGGCAGCCTGGAGGCACAGCATTAGGGAGAGGGCCAGCGCGCGTGTGGGGCGCTCCCTGGACCCTAGACTCTGGCAGGAGCCCCTCTGCCCCATCAGAGGGCATGGACATGCTGCTTTGATAGGGTCTTGGCCGTGGTGTGGGGTCTGTTCTGGTCAGATGTTCCCCAGAAGGTCGGAGGTGAGGTGTGGGACTAAACCGTCTTCACGGTGCCTCTTGGGGGAGAGGTGGGGGGGCCTCAGGGTCCCTCCTCTCTCGTCACTGAGGTCCAGTGGTGGCCGGGGATCTGCAGGAAAGAGTGTCGGTTCGATCGGATCCTGTTCTGTTGCACTGGCTGAGGGACGGGCAGCCCTGAGCAGTGGACTTTGCTTGTGTCGTCTGGGCTATGGCCCAGGTCTAGCGGTTCCCCTGCCCTGCCGAGTGGTGGAAAAGCTGCCGGCTGCAGCCTTGAATGCGGCTGGATCCGGCTCACAGACACACCTGGAGCAGCCAGACTCACACTCGGGGTGTTAGCGTTTGTTTTCTCTATCGGTTTTCCCACCGTAGCAGTTAAATGCAGTGTAATAAGCTTGTTACACATTACTAACATTGATATGAGGAATAGTTTTTCTGTAACAAATATTCAGTGAAGTGGGGTGGCCTTATTTTGTATTTTTGCAAATCTTGTGTCTGGCTTAATAGGAGACAGCTGGATTCCTAAACCTGCTATGCATTCAGTGTGTGGGTGTGTATTGTCTGACCAGTCCAGCCTCGAACAGATACATGGTGGGGAAAGGAAGGACCTTGGTGACCCCCAGAGGTCCCTGGCCATGTTTTGAGAGTTGCTCATCCTGGGGACTGGCCGGGAGACCACCGGCCTTAGCCCTGAAGGGGGTCCATACAGTGGGCTTGGGGTTAGGGGGGTACCAGGCTCATTGTAGCCCACGCTGAGAATCTCTGGTGCCCTGTTCTGGAACCTGGAGCCCTTGCCACCCAGGACTGGACAGCTTGCCCTGCTCCCTCGGGGTCCAGGCCATCGGGACGGTGCGCGTGTGGGCAGGTCCTGGGGCCTTGGTGCGGGCAGCCTGTCCTCCTGGCGGGTCTTAGTCTCTCTCTTCTCTTCAACAGAAAAATGGCCACAAACTTCCTCGTGCATGAGAAGATCTGGTTTGACAAGTTCAAATATGACGATGCGGAAAGGAAGTTCTATGAGCAGATGAACGGGCCCATGGCTGGCTCCTCACGCCAGGTAGGGGCTGCTGCACTTGGGCCTCGGGGTAGCTGAGGCTTAATTTTTTTTTTTTTTTTTTTTAATTTTAATTGAAAAAAACAGGTTCTCTTTGCACCGTCTGCAGGAGAATGGCGCCAGTGTGATCCTCCGTGACATTGCGAGAGCCAGAGAAAACATCCAGAAGTCTCTGGCTGGAGTGAGTACTGCCCTCACGCCAGGCGGCCTGTCTGGCATTTCCCCCAGCATGGCCTTTGGGGCACCTTGGGGTGAGGCGTGCAGGGCTGCCCACCGCACTGCCGGAGAGGGCGCCCTCCCTCCTGTGGCCTCGCCAAGCTGGTGGCCACCTGGCGCTGCCCGCCTTGCGGCGGCGGCTCCTATCACCCCAGGCCTGCGTGCTGGCGCCTGCCTTCCTTCCTCCGCCCCCGTCAGTGTGGCTGTCCCCGGAGGGGTGGGTCACCATGTCGTCATGGTCGTTCAGGCGCTCAGTCGTGTCTGCTTTGTGACCCCATGACTGCAGCATGCCAGGCCTCCCTGTCCTTCACCAACTCTCAGAGTTTGCTCTAGCTCATGTCCACTGAGTCAGTGATGCCATCCAACCATCTCATCCTCTGTCGTCCCTTCTCCTCCCGCCTTCAATCTTTCCCAGCGTGAGGGTCTTTCTAATGAGTCAGGTGGCCTCTTTGCATCAGGTGGCCGAAGTGTTGGAGCTTCACAGGTCGTGAAGCTACCATCTTGATCGCAGGCCCAGAGAGGGGCCTGCAGCCCAGCGTGGCCTCCCGGCCCACCTGAGGTCAGGAGGGGAGCATAGCCCCGTCCAGCTCTGTCCCTGGCCTGACTGGGGCATGGCCCTTGGGGATGGCAGCCCTGCTGCTCGCCCGCCCAGGGCCGCAGGGTAGTGTCCAGCCTCGGGCTCAGTGTCCACAGAGCTGTGCTTCTGGAGGCTCCAGGAGAGAACCCACCTTCCTGCCTTTTCCAGCCTTGAGAAGCTGTCCACATGCCTTGGCCTGTGGCTTCCAGCCAGCGGTGTCAGGACTATGACACCCATTTCCATCTTGTTTCTTTCTCCTGCCTCTCCCTGATGGGGCCCTTTGTGACGACACCAGGCCCTGCAGGTTAATCCAGGGTAGCTTGCCCATCCAGCTCCACAGACCCTCTGCCCTGGGGTCACCTTTCCACAGGATCAGGGGACTTGGAGCTGGCTCTGTGATGACAAAGCATCACACACCAGGTGACCGAAACAACACAAACTTGTTTTGACATCCTGGATGGTCAGACTCGGAGCGGAAGGTGTGGATGGGGTAGGCTCCTTCTGAGGTTCTCAGAAGGAGAGGCCTTGGCATGTTGGTGGCTGTCTTCTTCCTATGTTTTTCCATCTTTCTGTGAACAAATCTCCGCTGTCAAGGACACCAGTCACTGGGTTGGGACCCATATCATGACCCTGTTGCAGCTGATTACCCCTGTGAAGACCCCATTGTTCAGTGTCTCCCACGCTGAGGCCCTGTGGTGGGGCTTTCAGCTGCCCAGGAAGGGTGCCGGCCCAGCCCTGGGCTTGGGTTGAGACAAACGGGCTCAGCACACACCGGGGCTCCAGAGGTTCTTGGGGGCTGCTGGTGCCAGG